AAATATTTTTTTATTCTGCTTTAAATTCTTCTCGAGGTGTAACAGGACCTGAAGGGATATGCTCATTGCGCGTCGCTCGAAGAACTACGCGCGCAGACGATGCTCGAACTGCAGAAGATCGAGGAAGAGCTGGCGGTGATGGACTAACGATCCCCTTTCGGATATTTCATTTTTGTTGAACAGATTTTTCATGTTAACCTCAATCCCAATTTTCCTACTTTCTCGTACGGGCTTGACAGTTTACGGTTACCTTGAATGTTCGCATAATACTTTGATCGCCCTTTGTTAGTTGTTGAGAGATTACGCTCATTATTAATTTTATCTCGTGTCTTTTGTAGTTTTCACATCTCATTTCTGGCTTTTATGGGTCTTGGCTTGAAAGTTTTTGATTCTGTTTATTATCTATTTAAAATGATCAAAAAATAGTTTTCCTATGATGAATCCTTTGAATTGAAACGTTAAGTGGAAAATTTCATCAAACGGTAGAAGATTGATACGTTTTTAGGGCCTTTTTTCAAGTTGTTTTTCCGGAACATCCAGTTACACCCAATTGTCGGTGGTACATGCATGTATCCGGAAATAGAGCGCCCGGCTCACGTGTAAACTTTGTCGATTTCCGGGGCCTTCCGTCGATGACAGACGGCCGCGCGCCAACCGTTTTGTGTTTCTCTATGTCGGTGGATAGGTCGGGAAGGATTTTGCCGCGGGTTGACCCTCGCCGGCCGGTCCCCACCCCGATTTTTCGAGGCGTCCATTTTTTCCGGGGCTCCCCCTCTTCAAGGTCACCCGGCCGCGACCTGCCAATTTGGGGTAAGGAGGAGGCTCGATGCCCGGGTGTTCACTACGCAAAACAGGCCAGATTTTATTGCTGGCTTGGTGCTGGCTCGTATTTCTAGGTTTAGATATGTCCCAACAGGATTTAGAAGAAGCCCGTTGTGCTGCATGTTCTCAGGTTTTGTTGGCTTTGCCGGGCTTAGCTTTATCAGATTTTCTGTTTACGATTGGCATCTAAAAAGTGGTTATTTGGAAAAGGCTTCCAAAGACAAGAAAGGGCTACTATTTGAAGTGATTCTTGTCTCCCACACGTTCGACAGCATCGATTTCCGATTTTCTATAACTTTTGGCACTTCATGCACTTGGTTTTCTCGTGGAAAACACGCTGTTGAAGGCCGCCTCTTTTGAAACTACAAAAAACCTACAAAACCTTACTTTCGGCCTAGCCTAGGTTTTTGAAATTTTTCATGAAGGATCTTTTTCATGAAGAGCAGCTGTCAGATTTTTTGGCGATACCACATTTTGGCTAATTGTTTTTGGGCCCAAAATTACTCTTATCGACAAGTATGACGTTTAGATTTAGAAAATACTTACTTTTTACTTCTACTTTTTTGTTTTAGCCCATCACAACTGGGGTTTCATCGGAAATTAGCGTTCTAAAGGATCTGTTCTAAAAAATCTGAGTTTTTCACATAGAAAAAGAACAAAACACATATCCTCTATCTTTGGTCGGCTTTATACACACAGCCCGTCCCCCGTAACATAAATTGCTCAGCCAGCCGGCCGTGGGCTTTGTCTGTTTTCGAGGGCCCATATGTTCGTGCTGATCGGCCGGTCAGCACCTTTTTGTCAATCAGCCGCTAACCCGGGCGGGCCCGATACGAATTCTAGCGTGCAAAAAACAGTCCTGCCGGGGAACTTGGGGACCAAAAAGGTATCCTATTTTGTGCCCAAAAATCCCGCGCGAATAGCACGTGGACGGATGGGGCGGGTAATTGAGCGGATACAAGATCTTTTTTGAGCTCGTCGAGTGATTTTTCTGAACCTGTTTGATAGTTTGGTGATCTTTTGGATCTTCGAATTCCTTTTTAAACAGTTTGAGACTAACTTTTTGATATTTTTGCGCTAGCTTTTACTCACTTTCTGGCTTTCTCTCGCTCACTCTCTCTGTCTCTCTTTCTTTCTCGATCTCTCTCTATCTCTCTTTCCTTGTCTACCTCTGACTTGTATAATCCCTAGGTAAAAATAAAGGGTATGTGGCAAATCGAGCACCCGTACGTCCCGTTCGACTATTGGGCCAAGGAGAATTTGACGTGCTGCCAGAAGACGCACATCAAGGTATCGAAGTTTGGCTGATGATAGCTTTCAAAAATATATCAAATACCTAAATGGTTTTCAAAGATTTTTCTGTAAACCCCCCCATTTAGCGCGCCGCCTGCTACGTGACGATCCTCACGTTTCTATTCGCCATCTGCCATGGGGCGGAATATTTTATGAAAGTTTATTTCGACGGGAAGGCGGTAAGAATTTAAATACTACAAATTCTGATGGATGGGTTAATTTTTAAGCTTTTTTAAAAATTTTCACAGCCACTGATAAAACTAGCTTTACTGTAGTTTCTAGTTTTAGCTAGCAATGTTTTGAACCCTTTTTGGCGATCGTAAAACAGTATCCGCCAGGGCCGGGGCCGCATTCCTTTTTGCACCAATCGTTTCCACTCGAGCGCATGTTGAGCCCTGCGAACCGGGTGGTCAAGGTTTTCCATCCGGTTGCAGAAAGTGACGTGCAAGATTGGGTGAACCAAAAAGTAATTGCGAGCAGAGCGCAGAGATCGAATTGTCGCAATTGGGAGAATTTCGAGCCGGAATTCCCAAAAAACTTTTGGGGATAGTTCATGCTTTTCCGAGCATGAGAATACGCATAAGAAACATCAAATAGCTTTAAAAATCACCCAAACGGTGAATAAAAGTTGAAGATAAGGCGTTCTGAAAACTCATAAAAATTAACTCGTAAAAAGGGTACTAGAATTCAATTTCTTAGCTCGTCTTCTTCCCCCTGCTCCTCGTCTGCGGCCTGATTCTCGTCTACGGGCTCTGGACGGAACATCCGAACATCCTCATTTCATATATTGTCCTGGTGGTGGGTAGAGGATCTTTTATAGCGACAGTGTCGGCAAGCAGCTCAGCTCGGAAGCTCGAGAAAAGCTAAAAAATCGCATTTTTAGGCAGGGTTGCTGGTGGCCCGAATGGTGACAGTCACCCGCGTCTTGATCACGCTTTTCGACCCAAAATCAAATTGGTCATTGGAACCGACGTATCGGTAAGTTCAAGAAGTCGACTATAAGGGCTTGACTTTAAAAGTTTTGCCTGATATCCAGTTTTTTAGTGCTTTCGGTGTTGCCGACGAAAAGGGCGAAACTGTAACATCCTATGCCCTTTTCCACCTCGGCTACGCCATTTTCTTCATCGTCGTCTACGTGCTGTTCATCTACATTGTTGACAAGTTAGTTTTCAATGTTTAGCAGAAAATTTGTTCGAAGAAATAAAAGGATACAAGGAAGAGAATAGAGAGCGAGAGAGAGAGAGGAGAGAGAGAGAGAGAGAGAGAGCAAGACAAGAGGATGCAAGAAAAAGAAAAACCCTTCCAGATGCCGCCGCTACTTCATCCGCCTCGACGAGTTCAAGGAGTCCCAAGCCCACAATCTCACCTATAAGCGTTAATTTCGTCACATTGTTAAATTAAAACTACTAAATTCCATAGTTTAGCAATTAAAACTACTTAATCGGGCAGATATTCTGGCATTTTCTCTTCAATCTGTCGTGTATAATGCATGTACAAGAGTTGTGTGGTTGGAAATAAAGTTTTTTTTTATTGAAAGACCTCGTGACAAAAACCTAGCGGACTACAAACTACAGGACTACAACAAAAGCACTACAAAAGACTACAAATTACTGGCAAGAGAGCTTGGAAAGTGCAACGAATAAAATAGAGTAGATATATAGGGAAAATGCTACTAAATGAACTGAAATTAGCAGCAAACTAGCAGAGATTCTTTAGGAAACGCCAAAATTAAAAATTACAAATTCAGTAAGAACTACGAATTGCGGCTATTTTTATGCTAAATTATCCAACTTCGCCAATACGTGGCAGACTAGCAGAGATTCTTCAGAAAACGTGAAAATGAAGATGACAAACCCCATACTGACCTACAAAATTTGGTCCCCTTTTCTATACCTAAAATTCAAAGCCCTGCCTTCACAGTCCCTTTAAAACACCCGACAACCAAAAGACAAAAAAACCGGCTTATCGATAGCTTGTTGTTTTTCCGGGGCCTCAAAACCGGCGGGTACATCCGAAAAATCGTGATTGACAAGACGGGTGCGATGTTTTCTTGTTAGAGACAATGTGAGGATCAGAGAAATAGAGTGATTAGGGCCCTGAGGGGGGCGTGGGCCCTTCTTTGAGCCCCAGCTCCTCCTCCTCCCCGCCGGCCCTTGCTCTGTTTGATGAGTCATTGGACACAAACATGCCCCCTGGGGCTCATTTCATAACTTGAGGCCGAGCTTTTTGAGCTGTTCCTGGTTTTTGTACTCTGGCTCTCTGACTAATGTCCTTTTTCCCGGTCGAGCTCGTACAAAAATTTGTCATAACGCTCGGGAGGCTGATCTTTTCCGATCTGTTCGAAGCGTCGTGTAATTTGAGGCTTGAGCATCAACTTTTCGGGGTACAAAACGAGCTCGTGAAGCTGGTACCTTAAAGCCCTTATTAGCCTTTGAGAAGGTGATGAGCTCAGGCTGATCAGTTGGAGCTCAATGTCGAGCGATACTTTTTAGCAATAACTAACAATAAACACCACAACGAGTTCCGAATAAATCATTATTTTTTTTTTTTTTTTTTTTTTTTAATTTATTTTGGTTTTTTTTTTTTTTTTAAAAAAAATAAAAATTTTTTTTTTTTAATTTTTAAAAAAAAAAAATGGTTTTTTTGTTTTGGGGTTGGTGAGTTTGGTTCTTCTTATAATTTTCTGTGCAATTTGGAGCTGGAGCGCCTTAATTTAATTAAACGCTTTTAAAACTATATACGCAATTTAGCACGCTTGAAATCGTTTATTTTCTTTTTTTCAATGTTATAATTGATAAAAACCTTTCCTTAAACGTTAAAAACATAAAAATACCACAAAAATCGTTAATTTAGCTTTCCCTCCACGTCACCTTCTACGTCGAAAAATGGGTATTCGAATAATTCTGGACGACGATAAACCGGCGTAAGTTTTCAGAGTATTTTTTTAAATGTATAAAACCTCACAAACTCTTCGATTTTAAACCTTAAATTTTTATTTTTTAGAGAAAACCTTGAATGGGCGCCACCGTTACGGGTAATTTCCATTGTCACTTTGTTAGCAGCCACCCTCGATTTGTTGGCAGATTTTCTTGTATGTAACAGGTAACGTATCCTAAATTTTATAGGTCATATTGTAAAGTTTAGAATAGCAGAATTCCTGCCGAATTTCCAATCACAAAAAGCCATCTACGCCGCCTACGGGTACTTTTTCTTCGCCGGAGTCTCGGTGATTGTATATATTTTTGAGGTGAGGCTATAAATCTATCATCTAAAATGCTCAAAAAACTAAAAGAGTAATAATACCTTTAAAGCGTTGCTATATATTTTTCTGAATAGCTAAAACTATTAAATAGATCATCCTTAACTTCTAAAACTAAGAAAAATGACCACAACTATTTAAACACTTTAATAATTGGGTCATAGCTCACAAATTTTTGAAACAATCGTTTAATGGATGACATCTATGATTTTATACGATTTTTTCAGATGATTGACGTGTGCCAATCGTTAAAATACGAAGTAGAAAACGTGTATACGGCCCGGCTGGCAAAAAGTCTGGTGCTAGCGCTCGAAGAGGTGAGATTTCGATTTTCATAAGATTAAAAAAAGCGTCAAATCTGTTTTTGTCTCTTTCTCTGACTCTCTATCTCTCTCTATCTCTCTATCTCGCTCTCTGCCTCTATCTCTATCAACGTCGATTTGGCATGTGTTTTTCGTAAAGTTGATGGCCATTGAGGGGACATCATTTGTCTTTTATTCCCCTCCCGGTCACACATAAAATGTGGCCAGTGCAGCGCTTGAGAAAAAGGGCAATTTCAGTGCCTAAAAAATTGAAGGGTGGTCGTGAGTTTGGTGCTGAAGTTATGAGGGTCAGGGATGATTTAGGGGTTTATTAGAGACGCACGGGTTAAAGGCGGGCAACAGCCGCTTTTCCCGTAAAATCTATCCGGTGTTCATTAATTCTGCGATCGGTCGGTTAATTTATCTTTCCACGTTTTATCAATATTACAATGTTAGTTATGCTATTTAAAAACTGTAATCACTTCTATTTACGTTGTTCTTCTACTTTTAAGCGTTGAAAATCGTGCGACTCCTACATTTTAGCTGACTCACCCCTCCTGGCCATGTTCCACCTTCCATTTCAAAATCAACTCTCGAACATTTCCCAATTTCCGTCAGTTTACACTGCTCGTCCATGCCAAAAGCCGACAAGCGGCAATCCCGTAATAATCCCATCGTTTTCCCCTCCCAGGCCCCGGGCGCATGGTTTTTTGTCAAAAATGTGTGGGCCCAGGCGTGTGGGCCCCGGATTGAACAGATTTCCAGCCTCGTGGCCCGCATTCCACTTTATTATGGTCAGCTGGGGGAGAAGCATAGTGAATCACAAGTCAAAGGCTTGTTTACTAGTTTACTATTACTTAATAACGTACATTGGCGTAAAAATTAGCAGCACGCAGTCAGTCGGAAAGCCAAAACTATTAAAATGAAAGAGTCTCTGCTAGCTTGCCTTGAGAATATCAGCGCTTGTTAATTTAAATTTATTTCAAACAGATTATGAACCCCAGAATCGACCTCTGCCCTCGACTAGGTCTCGACAGGTACGCGCTACGCCAAAAACTGCTTCGAAATAAGAGATCTTTGCCAGTTTGCCCTGCGCATCTCTACGTTTCAAAACCGAAAACGTTAAAATCGTATTAAGATACTCAAAAGCCTGAAAATGCACAGCTCCATTCGATGAGCTGCCGACAGCTACGCGACACTCCAAGATACACAGAATGTGGCCTTAAAAGTCGGGTTTTTCCATAAAAAAAGCTCTAGGATACTCAACAAAATTATATTGTCAAAAGGTTTCGCGACCTCTTATAGGTGTCTGGATCTAGTCAATTTGGGGGTAAATTTCTATTCCCTTTCAACCGGCGATTTTCTAGATTTTTGAGACTGACACCTCGTGTTCCAGCTCTTCCCCTCAATCCAATCAATATCCAACTTCCTCCCCTCCCCTAAAAAGTAAAATCCACCCCAGCCGAGGAGACGGTGTGCGCCGCCACAATCGCTCACACACATTTTTCGGCCATTTCTTACGGGCGTCACATGCCCCAGGGCAGGGAAGGAGAGGCAGGGGGAAGGTGCTGGACTGGGCCGTGGTGGTGGTGGCCGGCTAAAGTGTGTCCCATCCACGCAAACGGGGAGCGAGTTATCGGGAAGTGTTTAGGGGGGAGTAAACAAGGATACTTTTGGGTGGATTTAATGGGAAGAGTACAGTAGCGTACAAAATAGCGTAAGCGAGGCAGGGAGAGCGAGAAAGACAAGAGAGAGAGAGAGAGAGAGAGAGAGAGAGAGAGAGAGAGAGAGAGAGTAGGGGAAGAGAGAACGAGAGAGACTGAGAGACAGAGAGAGAGATAGAGAGAGAAAGAGAGAGAGAGAGGGAGAGGAGGGGGAGATGGAGAGAATGAGAGCGATAGAGAGAAATCTAGCTAAATTCGTTGACTTTTCAGGTCCCAATGCCCACATTACTCAACATCCTCTTCACAAACGAGCCCCGGCTGTCCTTGGCGAATCCGGTATTCTTCTCCTCGTGGATCAAGCTGGTAGCCCTCACCTGGGGCATAATCAAGTTCTGCAAGCTGCGGTTTTTCTGGCCCTGTCTGCCATGCAACCCTAAGCATGATCGCCGGTGGGTTCAAACTTTGGTTCTGGTGGGTTGGCCGGGGGGGTAACAGGAAATCTCCAGCCGGGCTGTGTACACGTCTTCATTTTTCTACCCGGAACACTATTAAAATAGTCTATCTTTGCATTACAATAAAAGTTAGGCTGAATAAAAGAAAAATAAGGTTTTAGCCCTGACCCACCCCCCACCCGCTAACGAAACAGTGCCCCAACTTTGATAGGCGCTTAAAAATTCAAAATTCCTCCTTTTCAACCTTTGGTGTATTGCAATTGGTGTCTGGCTTTTACGCGATCACCCGAAAACATGGAATTTATCGCTTGACAAGCCGTGGTCCTGCTAGAGGGCAAGAGGTCAATGATTGCGTATGTAGAGAAGGCGAGTGTGGGTGCGACAGTTGCCGCCCTCACACCCCAAATTCCAACGCTTTCCGCCTTCCCTCCAGCAGACAAATCGCCGAAAAAGAACGCTAAAAAACAGTGACCAGCCTTGCGAAACACCTCTCGCTTCGCACGTCTTTTCCGGGAGGCCAGTTTTGACAATAACGCCCACCACTTACTTGCTAAGGGCTATTTTGAGGTGGGGATCAAGTTTCACGGGGGTGTTAAGAGGAAGTAAGGTACGGAAAAAGTGATATCAGGGAAAAGCGCGAATGGCGCACAGAAATCAATCGATTACATCGTGTCAATAGCTTTCACAAAAGTATAAACCTCCCAAATTCCAGCGAAAACATCCGTCGAATGTTCACGTTCACCGCGTATCGTTGCGCGATGATCCTGGTCAACATTTGCCACTTCTACTGTATCTACATCGTCATTAGGAACATTATGGCGTCAGCAAATGGGGGAAGGCCGATTAAGGCTAATGAATAATCTTTAAAAGGATCTTTCTTCCTTAAACAATTTAATTTCTCCTTTTCTACCGTTCTAGACTTCATCGAGCGGAATCTGGTCATTTCCACGACCAAAGCCATTTCTTTACGATGAAAAATACGCCTTACAATGCCTTGTACGTTACTTGAGCTTTTCTTCACGATTTTTTCCACTTTACATGTCGTGTACATTTATGCTGATCCTTCCATGTCCCTTTAAAAGCTGTTTGTCTGTCAAAAACCGTGTCTTTCCCTGGCCCGAATCGGGCTACAAACCGAAACACCGCGCTGCTATACGTAGTATCACAAAAATGATTTGATGGGTATGTTTTTCAATAAATATGTTGTTTTTGTGTTTAATAAAGTTTACAAAATACCGGAAGTTGTATTAAAAGATCGTAAAAACTTTATTAAAAACTTTGAAAATTCGTGTAAAACAAAAAAAAATGCAATTTTTTGGGACAAGTACACGTGTGAATTGGAATATTCTATGATATGATGAGGCCAAAAAGTCGAGAATTTTAATCATTTTGGGTTGTTTTGGATTTAGAATGATGAATTCATGCCATCTGGAAATCCTTGGCGTTTTTGATGTTATTTCGGCTGGCCACGTGGGTCACCTGACGACCGGAAGAGCCGCGGCTGCCTGAAGATCAGATTTTGAAAGGCTTTCGTCAAAGAGTCAAATCCCGAAGGGAGTTTGCTAGCTTGCCGCAGCTTCATTTCAAGCTTAGAAGAGTTAATGGGCTCTAAAATAAATTGATTTTCAACCGGAAAATTTGAAAATAGTCTTTTCCACGCCGAAAAACCAAAATTTAACGCTTACTTTGTTCAGATCTTTTACATTTCGCGATGATTAAGTTTTTTTTTGAGCATGTCATGAATTTCATAGGGATGTTTGCTAGCTGGCCAGGTACTTAATTTTAACCCTAGAAATTTGAGCGCGAGAACTAGCAAAAACGAAGTTTTCTATCCCAAAAAGTAATGTTTATCGAATTCTTGATGTAAAATTCAGGCCAATTAACGATTTACTAATTTAGAAACGTTCAAGAATCCCCTTTCCGGATTCGGAATCCCCCTGGAAAACGAAAAACAACTTGAAAAAAACAAGATTTTCTAGCCGAAAAAATACTGTTGATTAATTTTTTGCTATAGAATTTAGCCAAATAACGACGTAGTAATTTAAAATCGGACCAGGCTACCTTTTCCGCATCCAGAATTCCCCATCCTGACAGCCAGACATATCGTCTGCCCGGGTAAGACAACGGATCCCCGCAGCGGACCACGGCCCCCACCAATTTGCTGCCGCGTGCAAACAATTCGTCTCAGCCGCACTTTTTCTGCGCGTCCGGCAACGCCATCCGCGGACGCGTGCACGCGGAAAAACGGAAAACCGTCGCTGCCGAGTGGTGGCGCGGATCACATTTCGCTACGAATGTTTGACGAATCTTGGCGCGACAAATTGCTGGGAGTCGTGACGTATTTGGGGGATAGGGCGCGAAAAAGCAATATCCATACCTTAAAAAATTCTTATCATGCTAATTTTACATTTACAAGTTTTCAATTTTTCAAAGAAACATATTTTCGACGAAAATAACTGAATGCTCAAAGCTTCCGGCTATTTTGGGGGATAGTTGGCTCTTTCTAGGACGTTATTATTGCACTATAAAGTTTATAAAATATTAATTATATTTTTTTGAATTTTGAAGGATTTAGCCAAAAGCTTTATGCTGAAAAATGTGAGATTTCAAGGCATACAGATCCGATTTTTCTGGTCTTGTGGTGATATCATTATAAGCTGAGATTTGAATATATTAACCATATTATTATGTTTATTTTTAAGAAATTATTAGCTCACAATCCCCAAAAATTCGCACAAAAATGAGCTGGCTGTCTCGGGCCCCTGCCTGGCCTGAGTGACCCTTTTCCGCCAGCGAAATATTGGGCGCACCGCAGAGACCTGCGACTGGCGGGAGATAACCCCTCTCCAGCGCCATGCCCCCATGGTGAGATGGCCGAGTGGTCTAAGGCGCTGGTTTAAGGCACCAGTCTCTCCGGAGGCGTGGGTTCGAATCCCACTCTCATCAGACTTTTTGCTTTTTTGGCCAAAAAGCACATGGAAGCTTCCTGACACCTCGGTGTTACGTTCCAAAGCTTATTTTTGATTTCGAGTGGTAAAATCCTTACCATAAGCCAATTCAAATCCACAGCCAGCAAATATCAATAACCCGACGATGACCAGCAGCCCGGGGTGGACGCCGTTTATAAAATCTGCAGAGGTTTTCGTTTGTTTTCAGCTTACATGCGTCCTGTTAAACTTACCCTTGATTACGTTCGAGGTATCGTCTACCAAAATCGTGGCGCTTCGCTAAAACCTTTTTTAAAAAGTTTAACTGTGTGGATTACAATGGCTCGCGGATGCTCCTGGGCGGCAAAAACGGCCGATGTGCAGAAAAATAGGAGGGCTCGCAGGAAATTCGCCATTCCGGGAGGCTGGCCTAATAAATACACTATAAGAGCTAAAAGCAACGTAGAACTAAATATTAGGAACGAAGAAAGCGGAAGCCGATCAAATTCAACCGTCTTCAAAGCAGAAGCCGAAATTTGCTTTCTTTTAAACGATTTAGAAGCTAGCTTTTGTATGTAAAATTCAGAATTCCAGGTGATATCTACGAAGCAAACCACCTAAATAACAACAAGAATTTAAAAACGAAACCGAAAAGCAGACGTTGGTTCGGTATCACCGAAACACACGCGCCAAACGACGGCGCGTAATCCGGGGCGCGGCTAAATTTGTCGGAGGCCAGAGAAAGAAGGTGCGGAAAACGTAGAGCCGTGCGGAACGCGGGTTTGCCCGCTTCGGGGCGTGAATGTGGCCATTTTTTGTGGGACACCCGGGGCGTCTCCCTCCCTCCAACAGCACCACCGAGGGACCCGCGGACGGCGCGGAACCGGAAATCCGAGAAGGGGGCGTCGAAACGCGAAAGGTGGAAGCGTTGGGCAGTCACCGGGCACAGATGGGGAATCACCTGGGGTAGTTAATGGAGAAGCGGAATGGGTGTGAAGTTTTGACGAGCTTACAGGGCTCAGAATTTCAATAGTCAAGCTTTTGTTGACTTCTGATTCTACTAAGTGTTATTTTGTAAGTAATTTTGGAAGACAGTTACTCAAAAAGTCCCGTAAGAAAATTTTTAATTTTTCTAGGTCAGAGAGCCCCGTGTAAAGCGGCTTAAGAATTGCTTTATTTATGTCACAACCAGATCCGGAATGCTTTCGCATGATGGAGCACTTTTCCGCCAATGTTTCTATCATACATATCTTCCCGAACAAATTCACGGGCCCGCTGGAAGCAAACTCGACCTCCTGACAATTCGTAAATTGGCTCGTAGTGCCGGTTATCTGAAAACCTGATTTTCATTTTGGTCTGTACGTACGGGTAGAAAAAGCTACCAGGTAGTCCTTACGACTTACATAATGACAATACAACTCCCAATCAGGCCCGGTTACTGCCGAAGCAACGTCGCCAAGAAAATCTTGATAGGAAGCCGTAGCCGCACAGCCATTTGCAAAAGCCCGACTCGTGATGTTGTAGGTGATTCCGGTGAAAAACGGGCTATCACCGAGCCCGGAGCCCTGTAGCACTTCTAAAAACAGATTATCAAATTTCTGCCCGAGATTTGATGATTTTTTATTTTTTTTTGATGACCTACTCTGCGCAAAACTCATCGCTTCTTGGGTCTGCATAGCCCAGCAACCGATGGCCGGGCAATGAACGCCCAGGAATAGGTTGAGATATGACGACGGTGTTGTACCATCTCCCTAAAACCATAGGGCTCTAAAAAAGCGCCGATTTCTTGAAAACTCACTTCATTCGACACCACATATTGATAATTCACTTCATACGGAGTGCAAGTTTTGTTAATGGCCGATTTTACACCATTTATCGATTGATCTGGAGCATCAAACACACAAGCTGAAGCAAAAACACTACATTTTTCCGCGTCTTTGACCCACGCGCGCAAAGATAGCTGCATTTCGACATGTCTAGGCTGGAAATTGAAACATTTCGTTTGAGCGTGACGATTTGAGTGTCGTCATGTGAAGTTCCATCAAAATAGCAACTTTCTAAAGTGTTTTGCAAGCTCTCTGTTTTCTAATCGTTCATTTTCATGTTTTAACATAGAAATCGAGCTTTACAGTATTGGTCAATTCTTGAAATTCCGAGCTTTTCAAGGTTCTTTACCATCATAGATCAAAACCGAAGAGCTAACGAAGGTAAAAATCTCCTAAACTCACAATATATACCTTGATTTCCTCCATCGCTATACGCATCACATCCCGCTTCCTGTACGCAATATTTCATACACGCCGGCGTCAGCGAAACGTTGCACGGCGCCGCGTAGAAAACATCAGCAAACTGGCTATCAACTCGATGAAGCAATAATAGAGCGACAATTCCAATTTCAGCACTCATCATAACGGCTTTTTGGCCAGTAAAAAACCTAAAACCCAGAGCCGTCTCCAGGGCCAAGAGGGGAATTTGGGCGGATAAAACCCGGTCGCCGAGTTACCAATTCCATTCTTCGAGGCAATGTCCCGGCTTCGGCACCAGGAATGGTGCAACATTTCACAAATGTCGCGTGCCGTGCACACGCTGTGTTATTTTGCTTCATTTGTTTGCACCACCGCATCAAGCAATTTTTTATTCCCGCAGCAAGGCGATACTTAATAATACAGGGGGCACGAATGTTTGTTTGTAGATCGAAGACGTTTAGCATAAAATTGACGGGCGGGCAGCTTCTGGGCGAGGGCACGAGCGAGGAGAAGTCGCTGGGCTTCCTGAAAAAGAAAAAGAAATCTTTTACACGGAAAAAGAAATACCTTTAAAGTAGATGTAAGAAGGTGACGACGGGTTGCGCTTAGTCCTGAAAAACAATAGTTTTTATAGTTTTTTCCGGGATATTCTTTTTAGCCTTCCCATTTTCGTGTTTCTAAATTATATTTTCTATTCCTACAAGTCAAAAACCTTACCAAATTTATTAAAACCACAAATATCGATTTTCGTTAATTCAGATTTCTGAAAGTTTCCGACGTGCTCCAAAAAGCTTTCCATCTGAAACCTAGCTAAATTTTAATAAGAAGACTTGCTATGAGGTTTAGAATCATAGAACTTCAACAAGTTCAAAACGTACAGCCACAGAGCTGGTGCTCTCCTGGTTCCGGGTGCCCTTGTCCTTGCTGCCGCCCTTCGTCTGGCGCTTGATGACGGGGCGCAGCGGGCGGCCGACGACCCTGCTCGCCTCCTCGACCTTCTTGCACACCGCGTCCATGTCGACGCGCTTCTCCGGGTCCACGTTCCTGTAAAAAGCAAAGTAGCAAATTCACCCGAAAGTTCATCTACCAGATTTTCGTCTTCAGATAGTCGCGCAACTCGCTGGGGATCGTGTCGGGGAGCTCGGGCATCCGGCCCTTCCGGATGTGCGTGGCGATTTTCTTCGTCTCCCAGTCGGGCCACGGCTTGTTGCCGTTGTTGAACGTCTCGTAGACCATCTGTAACAGGTAATTCGAGCCGCAAAAAAAGCAAAACCTACCACCCCGTAGCTCCAGACGTCCGATTTCGTCGAGTATTCGCGCTTCTTCTGCAGACTCTCCGGGGCCATCCAACTAAAAGGAGATATAGAAAAATTATCAGAACTCCGTAGTTAATATTTTCAGAGTGTTTTTCGTAAAATGTAACTCTATTTCAAGCGCAAAACCGATTTTTTAAAAAAATTGGAAACTTTTAGTTGTAACTTGGGTGGGCAATCGGTCTTTTTTTGTCGAAAAATCCATATTTTGTTGTATTTTTAGGCAGATTTGTAAACGTTTTACGTTTCGTATAGTAAAAACGTTTAGAAACGCTTAGAAAACCTATATTTATAGTAGAAAAACTGGATCCTTACCGAACCGGAAATCCCATGCCGGTCTCCGGATCCGCCTCCTTCTCCGTCTTGGCGATCAGTTTCGACAGCCCGAAGTCGGCGATTTTGATCAGGCCCGACTCGGCGATCAGGCAGTTCCTCGAAGCGATGTCGCGATGGATGCAGCCCTTCTCGTGCAGGTAGCTCATGCCTCGGGCAGCCTACAAAATTATCGTAGTATTATCAAGCAAATTAAGCCCACGTCTTTCATGTAGAGGAGCCGCTCCGCGGTCTCAATCTTGTCGCGATATTCCTGGAGATGCTTGTCGAGACTGCCGCCCGGGCAGTACTCCAGCACGATCTGCACTGGCGGATGGTCGGCGGCGACACCGTAGAGCTAAAAAAATCATTTATTTGGGGTTCTTTTGCATCATCGGGGGGAGTTTCACTATATATCCAGTGGCAAAACAATTGAAAGCCTGAAAAACTTTAGTTGAAATTTGGTCTCTTCGGCAATTAATTCTCGGCAATTAGAAACCAAAGAAAAGTGAGTCTTGAAAAGTTACAAACAACCTAGGGCCCGTTATATTCTCAATCTATTTCTTAAAGCAACGGACCTGGATGACATTTTCGTGCGCGTAGCTGGCGAGCAGTTCGGCCTCGCGCAGCATGCTCTGCCGCTCCGCCGTGATCTGGTCCGGCTTGCGCTCCTCGTCCAGTTGCAGGCAAACCTAAAAAGTGTTTATTATTGCTCCTTTCAAAATGCCCACCTTCACAGCGACATTTGTCACCCGCTGCTCCTCCTTGTAAATGCCCTTGTAGACGACGCAGTAATTGCCGCTGCCGAGCTTGTCCTGAGCCACAACAGCTTTGATAATGCGCTATTCCTCACCTTGTTCTCATCGAAGGTCACCTGCTCGTGCTTGATCATCCACGTCGGCCGGTTTTTCGGGCTGCCCATTTTGATCGCGCCGATGCCGCCCTTTTTCTGAAAAAAAGATGTTTTCAATACGAAATCTGATACCTGATAATAGGCGATCAGCTCGGCCACCGTGTCGAACTGCACCCGGTCCTTTTCCTTGAGGGCGGACAGGATAAAGCGGTTCTTCTCGTTTTTACTGGAATAAAAATTGGTGTTTGTCGTTTAATGAGGGGTTTCCCTTTCCGCCTATACCTGGCAAAAAGGTATTTTGTAGTTTTAGTAGTTTTTCTATTCCTAAAGAACCATCAAGTTTCTAGATTTTGAAAATTTGAAAATTTTGACATTTTGGGGGACATTTTTCGTATCTTTTTCACTCAAAAGTCAAAAATATTTCGCGCTGAGGATGCGCTTTTTTTACATCTAAATCCCTTTGAAATGGTATGAAAATGGGTTATATGTATTAAGGCTATCTAGTTATTATTATAATTTAAAGCTTTCCCCAGACTCCTCGAAGCTCAAACTCCACCAACGTGATGATCAGGTGCTTGGCCACACGCTTCTGGTCGAGCACGGTGAGCACTACCGATAGCCGGCCCTCGTTGTCGTTGTCGGTGGCCCGCACCAGCCAATCGCCCTTCTCGTTCAGCAGCGCCCTAAAAGAATGAATTCTCTACAATCCAACTCATTCTCACTCACTCGCACTCCTTCCGGGGCCGCATCCCGTGGTACCAGCTCTGCTTCTCGAGGTCGGTGCTCTTCTTCTTTGGCGAGGGCGACTTGCTCCGCGACGTGCCGCCCATTCTCGAGTGTCTAAAAATTAAAAATTTGCATTGCATATGAATAAAATAGGATATCTTACCGTTATTGCAGCCCGACCGGACGAGGCGGGGTGGGGGAGAATGTATCGCATTTTCAGGGATCTGCACGGCTTTTATATGTGGATGTAAATGATGTTACCTAAATTGATTTCCGCTTCCGGTGCGGCTTGCGGGCAGACGTTTTGGCACCATTTTTGAGCCTGCAATTGAGAAAACAAAGATTTCTGAAAATTTTCGAGCATCTGGAGCCCACCTGGCTCACTGAGAAAGAGGGGGGTATAAAAGAAAAGGACGGTTAAAATATAAACACCACGATGGCCGAGTGGTCAAAGGCGGCCGGAGTTAAGACTGGTTTCCTCGGAAGGGGAGCGGGGGTTCGAATCCCTCTCGTGGTAAAGCTTTTGTTTTCCGGAATTTTGGAAAGTAGTGATGCTAAAAGTAGCTTGCGATCTTCTTTTTTACCTTGGAATCGATGGGAGAGTCAAGAAATTCTTCATGAATTATTATTTTACTTATTTTTATTTTTTTGAATAACCAGTTACGGGGCGGAAATCTCAAACCGTCGTCGATAGGAGCCACTCGCTGTCGACCCGAAAATCGCCGGCTAGCCGGCTTGAAACTTTCTTTTCTATAACTTTCTAAAATCGCTGTAAAAACTACAAAATATTACAAAAATTGCCTTTACAGGGATGAGCGGCCTGTCAAAACGGGTCAAGAAGCCCCTGCCCGCGGGCACGATGTGCCCCAGGACCTTGCCATCAAGCCGTTGCCCTCGATAAACGCGGTTTACAACAAGAGACCGCTGGCCCAGGTCAGTTTTTACACAGTTTTTTTTTAGTTAATGTCTTTAGGCCGCTGCTGGAATCAACGCTAGTAAGAAGCCGAAAACAGACGATGCCACAGACTTGGCTACCTCTTCGGCATCCGGCTCGAGCTGTGAGTCTCCTAAAAAATCATCATAGTTCTGGGTTTTAAGCGAATAACACCGAGCTGCTACGCCCAACGATAGAATACGAAGAGCTTCGAGCTTTTGGGGTAAAAGCCAAATGTGACGAGGTATTTTGAATTCGCTGAATACGGATACCTTTTAGTTGAACGACGAGGAGTTCAAGGAGCTGCTCAACACCTCGGTCAACGAGGGCAAGTACAACAAGGTTAGAGAGGCTTCTCATATCTAATTGTTAATCTAGGTCTGCCGTCTGATCGTGGCCTACTTTCTGCGAATTTTTAAAGAATTTCAAGTCACCAGCAAGGTGTCGCTTGATGCCGGCGCGTTCGCGAACATAGTCCTTGTTATTGCGGAGAACTCACAGAAGTTGACGGTCAGTAGCTTTTGTCTGAAGCTTGATAAAGTATTTTAGAACCCCTACTTGCCAAAAGTGTGCTTCTGGGCTCTGGCTCAATCGAAAGGCTGGAGCGTTGAGAAGCAGAAGATACTCGCCTCGATCCCTACCAGATTGGCCATGGTTTATTGAAAAGAAACTTTTATCAATACCTATTTGTAGCATCAACAACAGCTCCACAACATCTATGCCCAAGCCTTTTTATCGGATTGTCTGGGCGACAGAAATTGGGTTGATAAGGTAAAAAAGTAATTTTTCGTCGTAAGTTTTTGATTCAGAGCCATTGTGCTGAACTCGTCTCTCTCATCCTGAAGCGCTTCAACACGCGCTTCCCGGACGCGGCCGCTTACAAGCTGACAAATGGAGAAGTTGTAGCGCCGGATTGGACCCCGGATACTGTAGGTTAACTTTATTTTCCACTATTTTTCTGCTTTAGAATGTCCCCGACAAATTCCCGGCAAACGTTGAGGGAATCGGGGAGGCTGAACGAGATCGACTGCGCGTACAACAGAAAAAGAAGGCCCAAGAAGCGGGTGGTGGTAAGCTGCTCTTTTTTGATTACAACTTTTCTATTTAGACGTTGATGAAGCTGCAATAGAAGCCGCTCTACCGCCACTACGTGTCAATATTACTGAAGATGTGCTTACGGTATTTTTATACACAAGAAAAATTGACGTTTTTAGTACCTTCGTCGTTGGTGGGAGCTGAAGAGCGACACCCCAGCTCGGCCTTTTCTTCGTACAATGGCGGCGTTTTGCGGTACGGCTGAGCTTGTATTTCTAAAAACGTAATTTTTAGGCGTCCCGGAAGTACGGCTAGCCGCTGCTCAACGTCTCGACGCTTGGCTACAAAACCCGAAGACGCTTCGTCAGGCTTTTGAGCTTCTACTGCGTGTTGGAGCCAATATTGCCGATGCTACCGTAAGATTTTCTGGGCCTTTCAAAACCAATTTTAGGATCCCACCGACAACGAGGTGCTGCGAACGTTGCTCAAGATGAAGAGCCTGAAGAGCAAGCAGGTGCAGACGGTGTTTCTCGGCTTTCTTGGCGCGCTGTCAAGCAATGAAGCCAACATGCGGACGGCGATCAATTTGATAGTTTGGAATGAGCTGGGGCAGCCGCATGAGAGGTGGGATTTTATCGAATTTTTGATATGCCAAAAATTGCGATTTTCATCAAAGTGTGAGTTTTCAGAGCCACTCACAACTTGCCCATCTTGCTGGCAATAATCTCGCTGAACAATGCAAGTTATAAGGAAGGTAATACACGAATTTTCTAGCGTTTCAAACTGTTTTTCTAGATCCTGGCTCAAGAATTAGCCCGCATCCTCTTCGACAAGCCGGAAATGCTCCGCGCCCTCTCACTGTTCCTCCGCGAATTTGCCAGGTATCAAAGTTGTTTTTTTCAAAACCGAAGGTATCCAGGTCCCACCTCCGCAACGAGTTCAGCTTCCCGCCCTTCCTGGAGGCGTTTCTGCAGGGTTATGCCGATAGAATGGAGTCTGGAGAGGCTTTTGAGGTATTTTTGCGTGCGATAAAATTGGAAAGATATTTTAGCAACAGCAAATCCTCACCTCGACTATCCCATTCTGCAGTAACGTCGTTTGGACGGCCATGTCGCAGCAGGTGCGCTCAATTTTCAAAGAAAAAATTTTTTGAGGTGCGCGAGGAATTTTCGAAACGTCGTCAGGGCGCCATTTTCAACCAGCTGCTGTACAATCGTTTTTCTGCCGAGCTGAACGCGTACTTTATGCATGGATTGGTGTAAGCAATTCAGCAGAAGCCGTAAAATCATTTTAGATGGCTCGAACGCTACAAGCTGGCCATTGGGACGGCGGAGGAGGAGAAGAAGCTCTATGTGTCGGCCATGTATCAGATCCTATTCTTGGATAAGGTGTTGTAGCATTGTAACGACTATGTTTTTGGTTCTAGGGCGTTCATCTCCTCAAAACCGATGGCGGCCCGAGCGAGTCCGACTGGACGCCGTGCTACAAGATAATCTCCGAAGTGCACCCTACGGCGCCGTTGCTGATCAAGCTGATGCTCGACGACAACGTGGACTCGATAGACCGGCTGGAGATGGTGACCCTGATGACGATGCGGCTGGTCAAGTACTTCACCAATGCCGGTTGGATTTGGTTTCTTGTTATCTCACGCTGGGACAAAGATTGACTATTTTGAAACTGAAAATATCTAAATTGGTTTAACTTCAGGCTAAAATTGACGATTTTGAGCGCTCTAAACGGCTTGAAATAGCGCAGAGAAGCTTGAAAAGATGGCGTATTTTGATATTATATTAGAGGAAAAGTAGTCTATATTGTCTAGATAAAATGATCGCCTTCATCGACGAGACGAGCGAGTTCCTGATCGACCTAATGTTCGGGCTGGCGCGCTACACATCAAGGCACAGCTTGGCGGATGAGTCGAAAGATCTGTACACGGCAGATCTGTACTGGAAAGTGGTCGGCAACGTGTTCATCTGGGCCGCATTTGGCCACGCGCCGAGCGTTCTGAAGCTCGCCCACGACAGTACGCTGTCATCAGGCTTCTGATCCTGATGGCGCTGACTGAGTAAGTTTTAGTTTTTTTTCCGGTGCTGGTTTGTTAGCGGGAGATATGATTTATCATTGTTCTCGTTTTGATTGCATGTTACGTGCGTTTTTTGGCGTAAACTGTTCGTGAAGTTTATTAGAATGTTTCAAAAATTTTTTAACTTTGTGGTTAAAATTAAAAAAGCTAGAAAAACGGCCAGAAAATCTTGCATCCAGAAAATACCTTTTTTCAGGGACTTCAAATTCCCTCAATTCGCCCTCGACAAAATCTTCGCCGGCGAGCCCGATCTTCGGAAGACGGGTGATGAATTGGCCCTCTCCGTCGAGCGCAAGAGCACCGGCCGCCTCAACTTGACGCTGGAGAACAGCCAGCTGGCCCCGCTGCTCATCTACGCGCCCCATGGCGACACGCCCCGCACCCCACCTGAAGACTGGATCCACTCGCTGGCCATCCTGTGCAGCTCGCACAACATCGGCATCCAGTTGGCGAACATCCGGGAGCCGGAGCTGCTGCAGGAGCTGATCAACGAGTGCGGCACGGACAGTGCGATGTTTGCGATTTCGGTACGAGCATTTTCAGAGTTTTTTTAATGGTTCTTTCAGAACGCGCTCAGCAATGACGTGAACGCCGTGACGACGCTGCCGATCGCCTCCTCTGCGAGTACCTCATCGTGCAACACGTCGCCGTCAAGCCGCATGCTGGAGCCGAGGAAGTCGAGCGAAACAACATGATTTTCGATCGACTGACCGAGAGCCTCACTTCGGGCAATGAACTTCTATTGCTACTCCTCGGCAAGTTGGCCACCCACGAGTCGACGCGGCGCACGCCCGTGATCCAGATCCTGAATCGAATATACTGCGCAGAACAGGCGAAGTGGGCCGACCCTGCACCACACTTTCTGGCGGCCGTTGGCGCCGACCCCTACTTCAAGAAGGACAGGGTCCAAATTTGCGGCCTGCTCGCCAAAGCGTGCAAATTCGAAAACAGCCCGTTGTACGCGCTCGTCTACCTGCAGCTCCTCTCCGAACGATTGGAGCTTGGCGACGACTTGGCGGAGGTTGGCTATAATAGCGTTTTACGAAGTATCTATATATTTTTAGTTAGCAAGGGATCTAGCGTCAATGCCCTACATCCAGGAGCCGGAGCTGAGGCCGCCGTTGCTCGACTTCTTCAACACGTAACACTTAAATTCCGAATTTGGGAACTAGCTTTTTAGGTACAACAAGTTTGTGGTCAGCAACGGCTTGAAGGAGGCCAAGCCGTCCACCTATCACATCAAGCTCAAGAAAGGAGAGCTCTTGGCGGACCCTGAAGTCGTGGCCGCCCAGCTTGAACTTCTCTGCACAACTTCAGGCACTGAGGGCTCGGCGGCGCGAAGCGAGATGATGGATATTTGGTTTCCAAAGGTTGCTTTAGCGAATTTTTGATTGATCAGTTTCTAGGGAAATGCCAAGCTGACGGTGACCTGCAACGGCGAGCCGGTCAACGTCCTGGCGGACAACATCGTCGCCCAAATGCTATGCACCGACGACGAGCGGATTGTGAATGTGAGGATTTTTTACTGCTAAAAATAGGGTTTTTCAGGTAGCCCTTGCGGGTCTGACGCCCGAGACGGCGCTGACCTTGCTGCAACGCTTCGGTCTGGCGCTGCACTGCGCCTCCCGGCTGCTGACCATGCTCGACAAACTCGACCAGAATAAAGGTCTGCCCAACAAATTGGAAATGTTCAAATTGTTTTCAGTCGAACAACGCGCAGTCGTCAGCGCCCTTCCGTTCGCGATCGGCTACCGCCATCGGGGCGCCACGGGTGGAGCCGATTTTGTCGAAGAAGCTCAGCGACGACAGACCGCGACAAAGGAGGGACTCGATGGATGTAAGGATCAGAAATTTACTATTATAAAATTCTTTAGCTACTGACGCTGGAGCCGTTGCCGGAGATGTTGGCCATGCCCGTCCCAAAGGCCCCGAAGTAACGCCGAAGGAGTTGACGGCCAGGCTGAAGTCGGCGATATCCAAAAATAGGTATGGGCTTTTATTATCGTTATTGATAGTATTATTAATTTTACGACAAATTAAAAATGTTCCACGTTTAGTGAGCTGGAAATCGGCATCGACGATGTCATCTGCATGTGCAAGTGCGAGAGCTGACGCTGTCGTGTATGGAGTTTGTTGAAAGCAATTTAAAGGTCAGCTCATCTCGTAAATTATCAAAAAGCGAATTTTTAGTACCTACTCGACCACCCAGACTCCTTTTTCGAAGCCATGCTCGTCCTCTCTCAAGCTTCTGAACGGGTTTGGGCTTCTTGAAAACGTTTGTATTTTTCGTGTTTTAGCATTCAACGGTGCGAACGCGGCTGACGCAATGGGCTAAGAAGGTGCTCAAAGGGCCAAGCCGTCGAAGCCGGTCGCCGACCTCCTTGTTCAGTTTGCGTCGAGGGGCGTGAAGGTGACGTCGTCGAGTGGATGCCACTAGTGAAATGGTAGGATTTTAATTTAGGTATTTTACAGCTATAGTTAGTCATTACGATCTTTAATTCAGAGCGAAATGTCATCGGCCGATCAAATGCTCGAGAACATGGCCGAGATGGACGGGATGTCGGCCGCGGAAGCGGCGAGGTAGTTTCTTACGGCTTTTTAGAACGTGTTAATTTTTAGGACTATCAATCTCTACGTCGCGCGGAGACCGGAAATTATCGAGCCGGGCCCTTATATTGTCCAGCAGACGCGCTCACTTTTCACTGCAAAACAGTAGGCGTTGTGCGTATTTTCGGATTATTATGGTCTTTCTAGCTCCGCCGTCACTTCTCTCTGCGTAAAACTCGCCCACTCGGTCACCCCGGAAACGCTGGAAACGGTGATGCGATACCTGAGCTCCAGTTACGATCCAAAGTATGCTTCCGGAAATTTTCTTAAGCATCATGTTTTCAGGCTGAACGCCGGCTCGGTTTTCGGGCTCTTCTCCTACTGCGCCTGCGAGGGCAAGGTCGCCATGTTCAAGGAGATGACCGATGCACAGGTAAAGCAAAAAGTTTTGAAATATTTTTGCTATAGTTAAAAGTGCTTGCTCACTACGTCTGCGCTGCTGTCGTCGAGGACCCGATCCGGGAAGAGGCCGCCGTGCTGATGATTGATGCGCTGGTGAGTATCTTTAGTTTGTAGTTTTTCTAGTTTTCTGAACGTTGGAATATTATTTTTTTACAGGTGACCGCCCTCGGCTTCCCGGTCCTCCGCCCGCTCGTCCAAAGCTTTGTCGACCAGACGAAGGCCGTCATATACGATCGGGCCCGCTTTGAGCAGCTGCAGAGTTTGTCAACGGGCTCACCAGAAATTTTCCATGTAAGTTTTTAGAGCTTTCTTGCTATTTTCTTCAGTCTGAGAATTTTACTGGTCTTTTACAGGCGTCAAGGCCGACTGGGCCGTCGGCTATGTCGCCATCCAGGGCCAGCACTGGCGAATGAAGGAGGCCGACGTGATGATGACGCAGACGTTGAACGTTGTGTTCACGGTACGATTTTTCTAAATTAGCCAAATATGATCTTTTTCAGGACGAAGATCCCGCGAAAATCGAGCGCGCCCTCGCACAGCTCGAAAGCTGGCTGAAGAGTCATCCGAAGTCGATGGAACGGTGAGGGATATCTCAAAAGTTTTAATTTCATTTTCGGCACTCGGCGTACTCTCCCGACTTCTCGCCGAGCACGTGTCGATGAATTCGCGGCAGATGCGCGAGCAAGAATTCAATGTAAATTTTTTACTCCTTCCTGAAAATCCTGAATTAAGGCTTCTGGTCGCGTTCGCGATACGCGCCATCTTCGTGCTCGTCCCGAAGGTCGAGGCGAGCAGCCTGGACCACGTGGAGGCGCTGCTCTCGTAATCATTGCCTTCGCAGAGGTAAATCAGGCTGACTTTTATTCCTAATTTTTCAGCGTCACCTCTGCGAGCGGCGCGCCGGCTCGGCCGAACAACGCGAAGCCGTCGTGCGGGCGTGTCTTCTCTACGGCACGACGCACTATTCAAGGGCCCGCTCCTTGCTCCAGGATCACGACGAGCCGATTCGAAGTGAGAAATTCAAAATTCCCCCAATTCGCTTTCAGAATCGCCGCCGATCTGCAATCCGACCCGACGCTGAAGAGCACGCTGGCCGATTTGCTTGCCGAAGAGTAGCCTTCCTTCTTGTTTCTCACCTTGCACACATAAGTTGTTTTGTTTCCATTTCTTGATCTCACTGGCCACATATCCGGTTATTTCGTTCTGTTGGTTATGTTGTAACTGCACACTTTGCAGCTGATAATTTGTTTTATGTCTTTCAAAATGTGATCGTAGTGAAATTGTAGCTTTATTCAGTTTACCGGTTCGCGAAACAGTTTAATAAATGGTTCTTCTTGAATGAATCGGCGGGATTAAGGATGAGGAGACAAATCGGCTGCGCAGCCACGCGGGATACCCTGAAAAAAGCCATTTAGATTGAGCGTTGGGCTCGGATCCTAAAAGGTCACTACTCGTTTGACTACTTCAAGCCAACATTATGACTGCTTCGGCGATTGTTCGAAAATCGACTCCGACGCGTAGGGCTCGGACGAGCCGGCCGGCCGGTCCTCGCAGGCGCGCTGCTGGGCAGTGCTCGTCGGCGATATGGCCACGTCTTGCGGGGCGGTGGAGCGCGGATTCTGGGTCAAGGCGGGCTGAAGGGAACCGATAAGCCATCATCATCCTCTGCGGCCTACGCGTCGGATTTGTCGCGTCTCTTGCTCGTCTTCTCGCTGCGGGCTGGAAATGTGGAGTAATTTCAGAACAGGCTCAAAGATGCTATTTTTTACGCCCAAATGAACTTGCGTTGCTGGCAGGAAGCCAGAAAGCCCGGGTGGAAAAGCTCACCCCAAGTTGGTGGACTGTCGAACACGGCGTCGCGGCTGAGAAGAGCAAAATTTTCAAAGCAAGACGCTGTCCCCTACTCGACGGGCCTGGATCGCGTGCGCACCGAGTAGGGTGACGAGGGACTGGTCGACCTGGGTGGCGAAGACGACCAGCCGCTGCTGCACACTCGCCGGCAGCTCCTAGGAGCACAGCAGTGTCGAGAAGGGCAGCAAGAAACAAGTACCTTCGCCATCTTCGGGAAAGCCGACAGTCTGCTAGCCAGGGGGTCGAGTGGAAATGTTGGTTTTATTTGGCGCAGAAAGCCAAAGAATCTCTAGTCCAATATTCGTATGCAATTTTCCGCATTTAAAAGCCCAAACAACTTTTCAATTCTTTATCTAAACGACACGTACGTGAGAACCAACAATGAAACGAATTCTACCACTATAAAACGATATATGTAACAGTCGATAAACGGAGGACAGGGAAGGGGAAAGGCGACAAGAGCACTCAACAGGACCATATATCACTATTTGGAACAATTCTTCGCGGTACCCAGGTTTAGGATTGAGGGACGGGCAAATGGAGAGATGATAGCAACGAGAAGCAACTAGATTACGGGGTGAGGAGACAAATCTCAACACACACTAGGGGCAAGGGGAGACTAAGCGATGGATAGAAGGCACACCAACTATGATGATGATGAAGGAGGGGAAGGAGCATCTAAACGAAGCCGAAAACTTCCACTTGGATGGCCGTGCGCAGCTTGGGGCGAGGATCTTCTTCGAGGAGTACTGCGGCAGGTAGATGCGCGAAATGCATGTGTTGGCTGATGGGAGATGAGCGTCCGAGAGGCTCCTGGAAATGAAAGTATGATAAGAAAAATCGAGGTCAGCAAAAAGCTAAAACGCACCTGATGACAATAGAAGGACGCGGCACGAAGAGCTCGTCGAGCGCTGGCAGCGTCGCCGAGCCGGTCCAGAAGAAGACTAGGTCCTGCTTCTCGCGCTCCGACAGCCGATCGACCGTCTCCCAGAACCATTTGCGGATCGTCTCGATCTCGCCGGGGCTGATGCGGCACTCGTCGGTGAAAGCGGTCAACCGCTTCAGACGGCCCATGTCCATCTAAACAGGACCGTAAAACAAACTCTAATCCCGAATAATTACCTCAGCGATGCCGTTGACAAGCAGCGTCATGTCTTCCGGGCTCAAGTGTGCCAGGTAGCCGCTGGGGATGACGTCGCTGATACCTTGTTGAAGGGACTAAAATATGATAACTTGGAAATGATGCGTTGGAACTCACCTGATAGCATTTCATCAGATCATCACGGGTCAGTCGACACTTCACAATCTCGTGCACGTACTCTTGCGAGTTCTCGGCCGTCACGCGCTGCTGGCCGCCGTTGGGGCACAACTCGATGGTGGTCGGAGACTGAAGACAAGTTTAAAAATGAAGCCGATAAAACTAATACCTGGCCATCATTTCCTCCTTCGGCAACGTGGTGACAAAGTCCAACTGCAGCGCGTCAAGCTTCTCGGCCAACCCCTCCTGGCTGCCGGACAAGTCGGCGATCAGCGTGCGCAGCTGGTTGTAGAGCTAGAAAGAAGAACTTGGATTTCAATAAGCACTGCCAGACCTCTTTGTCAACAAAGGCGAGGTCGTGGAAGGAGGTGGGCCGCTCGGAGAATGACCTTCCAGACGTGGCGCGGCAGGCGCAGCGGGAAAACATGTTGCTGGATGAGGCAGAGCCCGATGATTCTATAACAAAGAAGATGCGGGCGGTGCAAAACGCCTTACCTTCCAACATTCCTGAAAGCACTGAGCGGATCGGCGACATCGCACCCGGAGAGAGGGCGAAAACCGGTTGGTCAGCAGATGGCTAAATCGCAAAATATGTCGCGTGCATTGAACAAACCTGGTAAAACAAGGGAGCCGTGTCCATCTTCGGCACAACCGGCTCTTGAGCGGATGTCGTTTCCTCGCCAGCCTGCGACTCGAACATCGCGCGGTCTGCCGCGTCGCCCTTCTTCAGCAGATCGACGGCCTCTTGAAGCCGTTCGCGGAAGCATCCGTCCTTGTTAATATTCATGCGCACGCCTTCTTGCACAGGCATATCGACCAGCAATCCGGTGATACGCTCGGCAGCTTGCGGATATTGGGCTTGAACTCTATACAGGGGTTATAAGGCCAAGAGTATTAAACGTACTGATTGAACAGCTTATCGGCGAGGTCAGGGACTTGACGGATCGTGAGCGAATCGTCGATGACGTTGGGGGCAGGTTCAGCGATGCGCTGCGGCGTGTAAGGAGCCGAGGCCAGCTTCAGGGTCAGCTTGCGCGACGACTAAAAGTACATTTTTGGAATGCCTCCGAAAAACTTGCCTTCTTCGGGCTCCTTGAGACTCGAGTGGGCAACAGCTGGAAGCGACGGCCAATCAATGATGGCTCATCGATAGCTGAAATAAAAGAATTGCGAGCATGAAATCTGATAATACCTCCAAAGTAGTCAATCATGCTGCGCGAGGGCTTTTGGGGACTGGCCTCGGGTGGGGCGCCGCCGTACAGAAACTCTTCGTTGTTGTCCCATCCGAGATCTTCAAAGGGCAGGTTCTTGAGGCTCATCAAAGCTTCGCCGAGCGCCGAATAGAAGGCCCGAGCCACACCACTTCCCTCGCCGGGCTCGTTTTCGAAGCCGACTTTGATCTGGAAGAAAAAAAATATTACGAGCTCAAAACTTCCGCCAATACCTTATGTGTGAAAAGTGGAGGGGTAGCGGCGGTTTTCTGGCCGAGACGCCTCGTGAACTGGGCATTGAGCTGGTAGACGGTGCTGCGGACGAGCTTGTCGTGACTGCGCGAGAGCTTCTAAAACCAATTTTATTAGTTTAAAAAACAAATTTAGCATACCTCAATGACCAGCTCGCGACAAGTAGCTTGGCCGGGGTTGTCGAAGACCTTCTGGCTGAAGAACTGGGCCCGGGCGTTGTAGCTGGACATGTCCGGTGATCATCAACGAGTTGGTGATCTAAATTTCTAGTTCAAGAAGTTTATCAATTTTTCACCTCCTGGCCGCAAATGCTGAAGATGTCCTGATGGTAGTTACGTGCCAAGCATTCCAGCGTGGTCGCCCAGCGCGATTCTGCGCGGACCTGAAAAAATTATTTAGAAAGCCATAATTTTCACTCACCTCCAACAAATTCAGAGTCGCATCGCAGTCAAGACCAAGGCTGGGCTCGGGTTTGGGCAGCAATATGTGTATGTCTTGCTTGACGACAAGCCCACTCGCCCTCGTCCAATAGGCCGGGGGATTCGAGCCGCCCTCCGGGATCTTCAGGTTCAGCTTATCGGCGTAGAAGCCGTTCCACTGGTCGGCCGTCATCTTCAGGCTGTCGTGTTGGTAGAAGTTGGGTCGGGAGTATTTGGGCGTCAACAGCAGCGGATTCGAGGCCAGTCGCCATTGCTCGGTGGAAACCGAGTTGTCGGCCTTTTGGACGATTCCCGGGTAGCAGAACTCGAGGCCGCGCTAAAAAAAAGAAAGTTCTCAAGCCGTGACACTTGAAATTTACCTCAAAGAAGGCCGTCTTCTGGCGTTCCTCCTCGGTGACACCGCTGAGCAACGACTGGACGAGGTCCAGGGTACGGCAGCGAGCCAGAAAGATGTCCGCCACGAGCGTCAGAGGGCGAAGTAAGGCGGAATCCAGAGTCGGAAACTTCTCGCCCTGTTCTCCGCTGGCCGTTCGCATCAGATCGACGAAGTAGGCGGACACGGTGGGCACTTCGTGAAGATGTTGGGGGAGAGCTCTAGAATGGGCTACTATACTTTTTATCTTCATTCTTACTGAGGCTCAACGTCCAGATCCTGTTGTCGTGCCTTGGCGAGCTTTATTTGTCTTTCAGTGGCGTCCATCGCCTCGACCAACCATCTCCATGCCGGCGCCAAGCACTCGTCGATGAAGTTCTAAAAATCGTATGTGATTAATTGACTGTCCACTGACCATAGAATTATTTGTGAGGCTGGTGCCGGCGCTGACCATCTCCACCTCGTAGGCCATACGGGCGAGCACGTAGAATGCGGAGCACAGATGTCGCGAGCTGTCACTGATACTCTAAAAAACAAATGAACAGCAAAAGAGGAACAAGCTCACTGTTGCCGGCGGTTCCTTCGGCTCATTGGGCTTCTTCTCGGCTTCATCAGCCGTTGTATCCATTGTGCCCGACGTCCCCATCGTTTCGGTCCGGAAGCGGTTGACAATCCCCGAAGGATGACGGCGTCGAGCGATTGCCTTAAAACAAAGAAATTAATTTTTGGCCAACAACCAACCCGTCGGCGATCACGACGCATTTGGACGTCCGGGCGCACCGTTTCCGCAGCAGCTCCAGAGCCCAGGCGGTTGAGGACTTGATTGGTGTTCGTGTCGTTGGAAGAGCTGCCCTGCTCCGCGTTCCGGACTTCATCGCCAGCGTTTGGTGGGGGTGGTGGTTGACCCTCTTGCCTCGTCTCGTCATCGTCGCTCTCATCACTCTCCGGCGGCAAGCCGATCCCGGTCCGGATGGCGGCGCGGGAGGGCATCTGGTCAAAGTCGATGATCTCCATATCTTCCTGAAAATTAAAGGTTTTCAAGATTCTAGAAGATTACGTGATCATCATCATCCATATCCTGATCTTCCTGCTCGTCTCCATGGTTCTCGTCCTGGTCATCATCGTGCTCGCCTTCTCGATCCTGGTCGTCGTTCTCGTTGTCGTTGTCATCGTTATCCTCGTTCTACAACAGCAATAAATTTTATGAAAAACGCTGAACGAATCGCACCTCAGTATCATCCTCGCTAGTGTACGAAATGCTGCGCGCTCGTTGCACACGCGCACTGTTGGTGCTCAAGACGATAGCGTGTCGGCCTGTGGATTCGGTGATCGCCTGGCCAGCGCCGTCATTGGCATTTTCGGCGGTAGTCGACGGGCCGAGGTTGCTGGATGTTGAGAGCAGACGATTCGAGGCCGGGCGTCGGTCTTCCGTTTCAGCGTCAGACTGCTCGCTCTCCGTCGTGTCGCGGTAAGGGTCTTTTGCGGCGAGTCGCCCGAAGAACGGCCCTTGCCATTGCCCGACTTCATCAGCGTGGTTTCGATCAACTGAAAAAAGGCATAAAACGGTCCAAAGGTTTTCAAAGTAAATAATGTCAAGACTCACATTAAAGACGTCAGTCTCCTTCGGACGAGCAGACATCGGGACAACAGTTCGGGCCCTGCCGACGAGAACGGGGGCAATCGAGGCGGCAGCCATTTGCGCGGCTTCCAGGCTGGTGTACGCGAGGAAGCACTTCAAGAACTTGTGCGAGCGGGAGACAGCCTCGATGATGATCTCCGGCTTCAACTCCTGCGACTTGCCACGTCCCGTCAGGCTGCGATAGTTGACAATGATGAAGCGGTCCTCGCTTTTCTTCTCGTCCTTCTCGACGGTGAATTGCTTCTAAAAAAGAGAATATAAAAAGTCGCGGACAGCAAGAAAGATAAATAGCAAAGTCAGGATACCCAAATCATTCGGTATTCATTACAACACTCAACGGCCCACTGAAAATTTGGATGGTCCAAGTTAAAAAAGTTCAAAAAGATAGGTAAACGAACCGTAGAGAATAGACCATGAGCAGCGACCATGGCGGCTGTTGATGAAAGGTTGACGAGGAGTACGTAGATGCGAAGAATCGAGCGCACGAGACGGCAGATGAGGGCGGCCGTCGAATCGTGGTCCTTGGCAAGTCCCTTGATCAGCGTATGCGTCAGGGTGTTCAGGTATTCGGTCGGACACCTAAAATAAAATTGTTGAGGCGAACGCAGGAGAGATATAACCCTAAGCCCTAAAATCCTACAAAAAATTACTTCGTCAGCATCAAGAAAATTGTCGCATCGAGGTCCTCACTGCGAACCCTCTGCCCATAGGCGACGTTGCCGATATCGTCGAGGCGGCCCTTATCCAGGAGACCGTCGTTCATCTGCTCGGAGGCAAAGTGGCGGACGACGTCCAGGTTGCTCAAGCACGCGTTCAGCGCCTTGGTGGCAAAGTTCGGCGGCTCGAGGTTTTGCTCGGGCGTGTTCGGCTCGGCGTCTGAAAGGGACAATTAGCTTGAATTCTAGAGTACTAAATAACTAAATTCTAGAGAAAACAGTCTAAAAAAATATACCGTTGTCGATCATGGACTTTGGGCGAATCTTCTTCTGCCACGGCAGCTGCTCGGTGGCTTGGCGGGCGATGGTCTTGGCCAGGAAGTAGACGATGTGCTGTCCGTTCTGGTTCGGAAACTTGTAGCAGTCGGTCTTCTCGAGCAGCTCTTTCAGCAGGTAGAGGCGAGCCTCCGGGTTTCCGGCCACCTAAAACGTAACATTAAAAATCGCCACACTGAAAATTTACCAGTGCTTTACACGGACACTTCTCCCAGCAGTCACAATAGGCCGTGGGGCTGGTCCTTTTCAGCGAGCAGTCGTGGCCCTTGTGGCAGGTGAATGCGCATTCCGTGCAGCAGCAAAGCGTGCCCGTCAGTCCACAGGTACGGCACTCGAAGATGTCCTAAAGAGAAAATCAAGTCAGACGAAAACGAATACCTGATTGATGTGGTCTTGGCCGGTCCAGGTGAACGAGCACGTATCGTTGTAGCAGAGGACGAACAGCGGCCAGCTCTTGCTGTGCTCCGGCGGGGCGAACCAATTTGGCGGCGGTTCGAGTAGGGTGTCAAGCTTGATTTCCGCTTTAACGGCAGCTTCCCAGATGATGCGCGCCGAGGTGTAGGCGTTGTTCGATGGCGGCGCAGAAGGGGTTCAGCCCGTTGCAGTCCTGAAAAAAAAGAAATAAAATAACTAAATAGAAAATACCGTACCTTATGCTTGAGCATTTGTTCGAGCAGATCTTTGGACGGAAGCTGAACGAGCTGCTTGACAATCTCCATGGCGCTGAGCTGACGCTGTCTTGCCTCGTTCGGGAACTTGATGCCAGCTTCGGCTTGTTCTAATAAAAAAAATCTAGAAAGAGTCAGAAAATTGGCACCTTTTTCTTTGGCCAGTCCGCCGAGAGCCGCCAAAGCAGCCGCGCGCTTGCTGTCGCTCGAGGAGCGTAGTAGGCGAGACCAGCGTTGATCCATCGTCTTGCTGCCTTCAGCTCCTAAAATGAAAGGATTCAGGCTTCTCGTTGCTCCTAATGACCCCCAAAGACCTCGGGCAAATTACAAAACTCGTTTCGAAACTCACCCTCTTCTCCCTTATCCGCTTGGTCGCGATTTGTGGCGGATGTTGCCAGGGCCACGGCCGCGTGCAGCACATTCCCGCCAATATCCGTGAACGTGGGCGCCACAAAGGTTATCCTTGTCGTGGTAGATGCCGAGCTGACGTTGGGCGTCGTGAGCGGGTCCTAGACAGAAAAATTGGTGAATTCCAGAAGAAGCCCGAAAGTGGGGACGAACGGAATTTACCTGCGCAAATTTCGGCCATCGACGCCTTGACAGCTTCTTCGTCACAGTCGAGCACGGCCTGTAGAAGGTTGCCGTTGGTTGGTGGGCCCAGGCCGAGGATAATCACGGAAGCATTTCTAAATGAGGATGATGTTCGAAAAGATCAGATAAACTCACTTGACAGGCTCATCGACATTTTGCCCAATCCAGAGCGATTGCAGCGGGGAGAGGGGTTGATGGTAGGTGGACAGCTCGCGGAAGCCGCCCTCTGCATCGCGCCACATGAGAATAAGCGCCGAGCCGGGTTTCGAGCGTATGAACACCATGTCTTCCTGGAAAAGGCAAAATAGAAAATCTCGAAAAGAAAACGCTACCTTTGAAAAGTTGACAAGCTCAGGCTGAATGGGCATATCTTCGAGGGCCAGATCCTCCTTGCTGGCGAACACGGAAGAAGAAGTGAGAGGCAGTGAATGCTTGGACAGCACTTTTCCGGTCACGGAAAGACGGATAAGTTGGTACAGGCCGTCCGAGCAGACGAGGCAACGGATTCCTAAAAGCGATAATTTACAATATAGCAGATTTACCTTTCTCATCAGCAACGGCGTTACAAAGGCGGTCGTACGAAATTGGGAGCCTGACAGTCACCCTCTTCGGCTCCATGCATTTCGGCGAATCGAATGCCAGCGTGTCGTCGGTGCCGCGGACTTGTAGATGAGCCACTTGCCGGATGCTGGAAAATTAAACGATATGCAACTGAAGATAAAAACTTACTGATGTCGGCTTTCCTTGAACTTTGGATGAGCGACGGAGATCTCCTCCCGCGGAACATCTTTCCAAGTCGGGTCGCGCGGATCAACCGTGACGCATTGTTTTGATTCTTTGTCGTGCTAAAAAACGGACTTCTACCGGGGCGTCAAGCTCACCAGGACAACAATCCAGACGTTTTCGTGCGGTTGCTCATACAAGAAGATGCAGTCGGAGATGGGCCACGGCTCCTGGTAGTTCGGCTCGTTGCTGTCGTTGGCGCGTCGCTTCCGGGAGCCCGGGAGTTGATCTAAAATAACGGTACCCGTAGGAAATGTAAGTAAACCATTGTTGGGAGCGGCTGCAGCCTTGAGGGGCTCTTTCTGGAGCTCGGCAAGGTCGAGTGAATACTTGTCCTCGTCGATCAGGCGGAAGCGGCACGTCTCTGATGCAGACCACACCTTCTCCATCAGAACACCGACCTGAGAAAACATATTTTTGCCGAAGGTAAAAAAACGTACTCTCGGTTGCCCATCCTTCAGTAACACGGCCACACTGCCCGGTTCGTAAAGCGGCGAAGTCTTCGGGCGCACTTCAACACCGACGGCGATCTCCGACTCGGCTTGGCTGTCCCGGCTCCAATTCTTGCGGGCCTTGTTGCGCATCTTGCCGAAGTTGTGCACCTTCTCCGCGGCGGGAACAACGCCACTAAATCAAAAATCTTGATTTTAGATTAGTTTCTTACCACCAGTGAAGGTATCCATTCTGTGTGATGAAGCCGGCAAAGTAGTCGGAGCAGAAGAAGTGCACATCGGCGCCCTGGGCCTTGCGGTCGATTTGCGGTTGGGCGGGCAGGGATTGCTGAGGAAAAGTTAATTGAGAAAAAAAACTAAATTTATTACAATCAAAGCCGTTCCAATCTTGCCGGGAAGGAGGTAGGGGTCGAGCCACGAGGCCATCTCTCTTACAACACCTTCGCGAGTCGGCTTCTCGTAGAGAACAGCCGCGCGGAGGTAGGAGGATATCAGACGAACGACGGTAGATCCTAAAATTGATTTGCAGAGTAATTAATGCTTCGCCTCACCTCCAACAGCTTCAGAAGCCCTTGAGTGTGGCTGACTCGATCCGTGTTGACTGGTGAATGACCATCCATAGACAACACCACCGGCAAGGCCAAGAATTTCCGAGGCGCAAGCGGTGATGTCAGAAAAACGAAGTCGAGCAGCCTCCTCGGTGTCTTCAGCCTGCCATTCCCCGACCTTGTCGTCGTAGGTGAACTCGCTGTACGACGACTGGTTCTTCTTGTCTTCTAAAAGTATTCTAATCAAGTGCCGTCCTAGAGAAACGCACTATTTTTGTCATGAGCGGCATCTCGTCGGGCGGCGCGGCCGCGCTGTAGCATGAAGGCCGATTCAAGATCGGGAGCATAGTCTTCGTGGCCACCGAGCTGCATCTAAAATCGAATGATATTTGTAAGGGGGCGCAACAAACAGATTGAGCATCGAGAACCGCCAACAGCTCCTCGGGGATGCAGACCTCGCCGATAGCGTCGTCGTCGTCTAAAACTGTTTTTGAAAACTTTCGGAAACCCAACCTTCATCGTCATCCTTCGATAGCAAATTGTTGACGGCCTCGTTGACGTTGAGGTTTGTGCGCTAAAAAAACAATAAATGTAGATGCGGAAAAACACACCTGCAACTCTCTGACGATGACTTCACGGGATTTGCCCTGTAGAACCACTTGTGCTTGTGCGATCAGGTCTTCTGGCACATCAGAGGCTGGGGAGAAGCGGACGAGTCCGGTCGACGAGAACTGAAGCTCGGTCTCTGCGGCCAACATCCAGCATCCGTCGATACTTGCTTAGGAATTGTAGCTAAAGATCGGGATTTCGACAAAAGCACGATTTAATACCTTGGATTTTGGAGCAGCAAACGCGACAGATCCGGAAGCCGAAGTCGCCTTGGCGTTGGGATGCCGGGTCGGCGGGCTGACAGAGCGATTCTCCACGCTGTAACCGAGACGCAACACACGGCCATCCTGCAAAACACAATCTTACAAAGTTTATGGATGCCACCACCTTGAGCAAGAAGAAGATGTAGGCCGGAGTGACGACTGTCTTCACATAGTCCTCCAAGCGTAACCCAAGTGCCTCCAAGGCTGGGATTGACCTCGCCGAACGGTCACCCGTATTCCGACGGTGGGCGGCGGATTTGAAACTAAACAAAAAGCTAGAGAAATTTGCTATAACCCTACGTTTCATGTACTTCGGCCTCCTTGGCCGTCAAGCTGTAGCGAAGCATGAAGATTTCAGGGCCAATCGGGGCCACGGGGGCGGCGGATGAGGACGAACCCTCATCCATTGGCTCGTTCATCCTGAAAAATAGATATAAAATTCAGGCTGAAAATAAAACCGAAAGAGAGAATAATGAGCGCAGAAAGTAAAACCATTTTAAAGGTCTCCTTGAAAGAAATCTGGCAATTTCAATCACTACGCGATATTTCGAAATGTTTTCGAAAATGGACATCGATTGCCATTGGCTTTTTGGACCTCCATAGGGTGAATCAGAGCCGCGCATTTGTTTAGAAAACGTCCTCCTATGATTCATTCAGCCGCCCGAGGCGCAAGAAGTAACGGTTTACGAGTAAATCAACAAAATTGTCTTTTCTATCTACGTTTTGCACTCAGCTTTTCTATGAATCTCTCCTTGTCCATTTTCAAGCTAGTGATCGGAATAACTGAAAAAACACGGGTACAAACCCTTTTTTATTAATTACTTCCCCTTCCCGACAGGAAACCTATAATTTTCGACTTTCTTTGTGGTTGTGTCGGGGTTTCTGGCCCGGCCGGGCTCTCTCGCCCCGGTCGGGCCCCAAAATATTCGGGCGCGCTGGGACCCTTTTCCTATTACAATGGCGTAACCGATTTAAGTTTAGAAAAAAGTTATAAAACGGATTGTAAACCGGGCAAAAATCATCGAATCTATGAAGTAGACCCAGGGCAAAAGTCTATGAAGTTATGTAGCTAAAAAACGTTTAATTCTAGCTGCTAGCGATAAAAACTCCCAAAGCTACATTTGTTGTAAACCAACGACAGCATTATAAAATTTATTTGCGAATCCGAATCCTTCGCTGGAAACGAGCAGAGAAAAAACAAAAACGGATTTTTTTCGCACGAAACCAAAATCAGACGAATGACACCTAACAACGGATTTTTAGGGGTACGGTAGGCCGTTGATAGGATTGTCACGGAAGTGCTCGACGGTTTTTTCATTAAAAATCATAAAAAAACGTTTTTAATTGCTAAAAAAAGCGAGGGTCCACCTCCCACAAGGGTAATCCCGAGCTGCTCACAAATCCTCGATGATCTGCTGCGTCCCTCCGGGGATTAGGCACGGAAATAAGCATCTATCGTTTTCTTCAATATTTTTATTTCATTCACAAAACCTTTGGCGAGTTTAAGTAAAATACGGCAAGTTTATCACAGGAAAAACACACTATAAAAGTCACCGGGATTTTGGTGCGTTCAAATATCATAAAAACAAGCTTTAAATTCGAGTTTTTCAGGGCAATTCAGGTTCCAGATATTAAAGTGATGCAATGGGAAAAAATAACGTGGATTTGTTATAAAGTATATATAAAAGAGTGAAGGAGATGATAAAAAAAATAAAGATGCTGTTTTTTAAGGCCTGCTAGCCCGATTATGCGTGAATAGGCCGTACTGGAGGTCGACGGTCAATTCTTTGACTTGCATATGGGTGTAATCTGAAAGAATTGATCCGGATTTTTTAGTTTTAGGGATAGCCGTTTTAGTAATTGTTTTGAAACTTACTGGTAAAAGCTTTTTCCCAGTCCGTCGTTGGAAAACGGGAGGAGTACTTGCCCCAAACCTTGTCGTCCGGAATCACGACGTCATCAACTTAAAAATTTAATCTTTACAAATTCTTGAGCTTTAATCTAGATATAGTAATACAGTAGAGTACTTACCAGTTGTCCACAACGCATAAACATTTTGTCCTTCCTCGAATACCGTCGTTATTCATCTGATAAAGCAGGCTGGAATAGTTCTGCTGATCGCATTTTTCGGGTAGAGGCTGAAAAGTATCTTTTAGAAACGTAGGGCCCAGGCAATTAAAGAAAAACTTGTGAGTCTAAAAAGCCCAATAAAAGCTGCGGACCTTGACGCCACACATTTTGCTGTCGTTCGAGCCGCAACTGTCCCCAGGCCAGAAGCCGTTCTAAAAGTGGATTTTATTAGTTAAATTGTATGATAAAGGTAAATAGAACAAAGCTTCTTATGATACTTACAATTTCATTACAAGTATACGTCGAGGCGAGGCAGGCGCACATGCCGTAGTTCGCGCCGCAGAGCCCCAAAAGACGTCGATTTGCTCGGTGAGCGGGGGTCCGAGATCGCAGGTGTCTGGAAGATTGTATTTTTTATTAATATCAGATTTTTCCGAGCGTATCAGATAACTACAATACCATAGAAATTCCCGAATCCACCCTCAACTTATCTTTTAGAAAGCGCAAACCCCCAAAAAATGTTTTACCGCGAGTGGGATTCGAACCCACGCTCCCCTTCCGGGGAAACCGATCGTGGCTTCGGTCGCCTTTGACCACTCGGCCATCGCGATAATTTATCAGAAAAATAAAGTCGTGTTTTATACCCCCTTGAATCCGGGTGATCCAGGTGTCGTAAGTTTCACGAAAATTTTCAAAAATCCTGACGTGCCATTTTCGATTTTAACGCAGGTCGTTTTTATCGCATACTAACGATGATAATAATATTTTGAGTGATATTAAAGAAAAGTATGTAATATGTCAGGTATCTGATAATGGAAAAACCTAAAAATTCCCCAATTTAGTCAGCGTTTCGCTTCAGATTCCTGCCTTCTCAATCCCAAATTGGGTTTTGTTGGATTTTAGATTTTCAGTTTTTCAGTGGAATCGGCAGCGCTCGTCCTTTGACCACCGTGAAAGGATGACCGGAACGGATTTCGAGGAATTCGTAGGTAAGCCTTAGTTAGATCCATCCATCATCCCCATACCGTCCCTTCAAGCGCAAAACTCAAAAATGTTTTACCGCGAGTGGGATTCGAACCCACGCTCCCCTTCCGGGAAACCGATCGTAGCTTCGGTCGCCTTTGACCACTCGGCCATCGCGATATTTTGTAAGTAAATAAATTCGCCTTTTATAACCCATCCATCGGGGTGATCCAGACGTGAGCAGTTTCCGCGAAAATTTTCAGGACCCCTTGCGCGGAATTTTCTATTTTGCGACAAGAAATCTATTGAAATTACGCAACTAATTAGTTAAAGTAGTCATAAATTAGTTTTAAAAGCAATAAGATTTCTAAAACCTACTCCCGTTCAATTTCTCCGTCACTTTCCCGCCCTTGGCCACTTTCCTGGCCAACGTCACGCCCATTGAGTGCCCGGAGAGGTGGATGGCTTTTTTCTAAAGTCGAGAAAACTACAACGTTGGCTAATTTCACTTACCCCTGTATATTTTAATACAGCTTCCACAAATCTGCGCAGCCTTACAAGCGTTGAGCAATTGTGGGCCCTAAACGAGTTCGGCAGAGTCGTACTTGTCAGATTCCATCTCTTACTGATAAGCCGCCTCGTCGAGCCGTCGATTGCCCCACGTGGTCACGTACAGTTCGGCTTGGGTGTACCTTAGTTCGGTATTTTCTATTTCATAAATGTTTCACTAACCCTTTGGATTCGAAATAGGCAATCTGTGCTGATGAGCCAGAGCTGTAGGGTCCGGGTTCTTTCAAAGCACCGTCGGTGTTGCCGTGGATGAACACGATTGGGGTTTGTTGGACCTAATAATACCTTAAAATGACCTAAGTTTGAGTAAACAGGTATAACCTAAAGTGTCATACCTCCTGATGATCGTCCTTTTTGCCGCCGTAGCTGCCGACTTCGCCAAGGTCACGGCGAGCGTAATCGAATTCACCGTAGCCATTTCTGGAAGAAGCGGACTGCATTTATAAGCATCAACAACATAACATAAGTTTAACAAGTGTCCTTTTTCTACAGCTTTGTTGTAAACACGGAATAGGCTTGAGATCATAACCCATTACCTAGACCTCATCATACGATAAAGCTCATTAGAAAGACGGAATTTTTGGAGATCCAAAAATAGAAAAGGAGAAGATATAATTTCCCAAAAAAATCTTGGCTGTGCCGCCCCACTCTTGTAAACCAATAATCTTCCAAAACTAACGACTTCAACCACTCCTCAAAATGCGTCGTGATCGGCCCAACCGGATCTGCAGCAGCCACCAAAGCACAAGCCCATGTCGCAAGCAAAAGCCGAAGTACGCCAGAGCGCATGGTCGGGAATGTCAAAAGTGAGGGGCTGGTGCTTATCGGACGGCTTCAGGGGCTTGTGCTGTCCGTCAAAGTCGCGCTTATACTGCGAATTTTCGCGCCTGTGATATGGGATGGGCAATGCCTCGAAAATCACTAGAGCAAATAGATTAATTAGCGCTGATCGGGGGCGTTTGAAGTTTGGCCTGACCAGAACACACCGATGGGGTTGACAGAAGTGACGAGATGGGGCGATAAAAAAGGTATAAGTGAGCCCAAAACATGGACGCAAATAATTATTAGAGGAAAAGAGACCGGAAGCTCGAGGAAATAAATGCGCGCTAAAGAGAGCTAAAGAGGTAAAATGTATATTTTCTGCATTTATTGCCGCCAAAATCTTTAAAAACACAAGTGATTTATTAGCAAACTAACGGAGGGTAAAAAGCTAGCAACAACGAGCAGATAATGCGCAACAATAACAATGTAACAACGAATATGATGAATTCAGACAACGATAAAGTAACGACAATCAAAAATTATTTTTCTATCAAAACAATGAAACTAGATGATATCCCAGAGTTCTTCGAGGCCGCTCGTAATCTTGGCACAGGTGAGCGCGGCGGACAGGGGGTAGTTGCTGATCTTCAGATCGCCTTCCGTGTAGTCTGTTTGAATCTGGAAAATAGGAGGATTACTGCGTGAAAAATATGAGCAAAGTTGAAATTTATAAGACACACCTTCCCCTTCGCGATCCCACCGATCACCACCACGATCGGCTCGTTAGCCTCTTTCGTCACCAATTTGTTGGGCATCGTCAGCTCGGCTGCCGAGAAGGACATCAGCAACTTTCTGCAGCCGACGGGTAGATGGTTAGACACCGGATTCTTGATCACCTAAAAAGGAAATTCGAGAAAAGCCGAAAATAAACCTACATTCAACAGCTTCTGCGATGTGTCGGCGGCGCGGAGGCTGAGCTTGTGGAGGAGTTGGACTAAAAAACAAATAAAGATCAATAAAGATTAAACTACCCATTAGGCCGCAAAACCGATCAAATGTACGCGGGATTCGGCATTGTGGGCTCACCTGAAAAGCGAAATGTTAGCATAACGCCTTCGGAACAAAAATTGGAATATTTCATTAGAGGCGGAAAACTCACTTCGATCAAAACATTCTGCGCAGTGTGCATGAACACTTGAAGCTTGCCGGCTCGATTTAGCGGCGAGTCGAGAAGGTTGAGCAAACACTAAAAAAACCGATTTCTTCAAAACGTGCGAAATCCCACTTGATGGACGATATCCGGGCGGTAGTCGGCGGGGTCGCGCTTCATCTTGCGAAGGAATGTGGCGTGCTTGTCGCTGGAGAGGAGCACGTAGTCTTTTCCGATCTAGAAGAAAATTTAGGATTCAGATGACTAAAAACCTTGGCCGATTCGAGGGAGCAGTGCTCGAGGACGACGTACAGCACGCGTCTGTCATTGCTGGTGTCGTCGGTCTTCAGCCGCTTACTTCTTGGCGCCACCAAGTCGTACTCGTCGCTCATCTGAAACGTGATTATTTCAAACAAAAAAAACGACAAGAACAAACTTTACAAAAACCAATTTTTAAATTTTTTCGATTACAAAAAACATCCTTTTCAAATAATAAGCAAATTCTACACCTAGAAACGAAAAATGATCGCTAGAAAAACATTAATCGGCTTGCGAACCATTCAGTACAAAATGAAACTCGCTTCAGGTAGAAAGTCTTTATCCCGTACACGAAAAGTGAGTTGTAAAGTATGAGATCAACGAGGTAATCAAAAAACGCGGGATAGAACAAAACAGGAAATGTACTCCAAACACAAATCAAATCCCTCAATATACACACAACGTGGGAAAGCGAAGATCAAGGAACGCAAAAAGGCAACCAATCAATACAAGTGGCAACGAGTGAGAAAATGACCGGGCTAATCATCAGAATCGTCGGAATCGATCGTCTTCGGCTGAGCGTCTTCGTCGTCCTCCTCGATCTCGTCGAGGTAGACACGTCGGCGGCCAGCGGCGCGCGCGTTGCTAGCAGTTTCTTTCTTCGCGCTGCCGGTCGTCTTCGGGCCGCTCTGTCCGCGAGCACGCTTCTAAAATGATTTTTCTTAGAAAGATTCGTGTTTAGGAACCAAACCTGGAATGCCGACGCCTTCTTCATCGTAATCTCGTGGTCCACCGCCTTCTCGTAGAGCTGCTTGGTCTCCTCGATGAATTGCTCGACGTCGGTCTAAATCAGAAATTGCAAGTCGCAAATTAATTCTCACCTTATAGTGGGCATTCGGAGAGGCGACCTTCTTTAGCTGCTCGAGTGTTGTGTGGAGGTGGTCGTAGAAGCCCGGGATGTGCAGGAAGCGCTCGACGGCCTTTCGGTGCTCGCGAATCTGCAAACAACAATGTTTTGGCATAATCAAAAGCCAAAATACCTTGCTGAAGCTCTTCTCGCTCTTCGATACCATGTTCAGCACCCAGACGAAGTAGAGCGGCATCAGCTCGTTGCGCTCCAGCGACTCCTCACTAAATAAAGATTGACGATATCCTCAAGAAAACGTACTCAAGGGCCTCAAGGCGCTGAACGACCCTGACGACCATATCGTCGTTTTCAGCGGGTTCCAGGTATTCGAGAAGGGGCCTAAAATTATGAATTTGATGAAAAAGAGCTATCGCCCACGTCATGATAAGCTGGAACGCCGGGAAGGGGATCTGCTTCGGATTGCGTGTCAGCCGGGACAGGAAATCGGGCATCGCGTTGAAGACCATGTTTTTCTAAAGGCAAAATAAATTTCTAGAGCCTAGCATACCTTGGTAGCAAATTCCTGGAAGAAGACGCGGGCCATCGCTTGGACATCTTGGGACGTGTCGACAAAGCATCTCGCCACATCGGCCACACCGCTGCGGTTCTAAAAAAAGGAATTTTTAGAACTCGGAGATTTTGCCCGTCTTTCAGAAATTAATTTTTCGTAAAAAATACTTGTACAAGGCCATCCGTCGTTACGTGGAGGAGGACGAGCAGCGCCGTCTCTCGAACGAGTGGATCAACATCGCGACACCTAAAGAAAATTGCATATGTCTTATGTTGTGAAAGTGAGAACTTTTCAGTGAAAAAAGTTTCCAAAGCCAAAAAAACTTACATATTGAAAAGCTCCGACTGGTAGTTGTCGAACGGAATCGGGACGAACTCGTAGATGTCAGCCATCGCAACCAGGAGATTCTCTCGAATTGTCGGGTCTGAGGCGGCCGTCATCAGCAGCGTGATCAGGAACGACGACTTCTTCGCAAAGTGCCGACACAGCGGCACCATCTTCGCCAATGCGGTGGACGCCTGGCATCGCGTCTTGTCGCTGGTGCCCTTGGCGCGGATGCAGTACGTGACGAGCGGGACGACGCGGGCCAAGATGAACGACGGGTGGAGCTGTTGCATCAATTGCGCGTTGGCGACGTCGATGGCGATGGAGAATTCCTGGTCGTTGGCGTCGTTGGCCTTCAGCACCTTGTCGTGGAAGATCTCGAAGATGCCCTGGCGTCGGGCCGAGTCGGCTTCCCAGGGAAGGAGGACGCGCACGGGCATTTGAGGGATTCCCTGGAAACCGGTAATTTTTATTATCAAAATAGCGTAAAAAAGAAAGAAAATAAACTTACCGTTTCCGGCTCCTCGTATTCTCTGGCCAATTGATCATCCGTTGGGCGCTTGCCACCCTTGATCCGCACCTTCTTCTGCATGTCGACGTACTAAAAAAGATGATTTTATGAAAAGAGCATCAAAATTATACCTCTTCTAGTGATAGGCTCTGCGTCGTACGGCCGTCCGAGTCGATAATTTTTTGCATCCGCTTCAGCTCGCGCGTGAACGTCTGATCAACGTAGATGTGGATGTGCTGGGCCAGCTAAAAAAACTCCGTAACCAAATTGAAAATTTTTTACCTCGCCGGAGGCATACATCGTGCGCTCGAGCAGCTTGTCCTGCAGCAGCCGGAAGTGATCCCTAAACGATGGTAAGATCAGATTGATTTTACTCACAATTTGGCCCAGACGAGCTTGGCCTTCGCGGAACTAGTGTCGTTCTTCTTGGACATCTTCGAGTGCTCGGCCTCGTAGAAGGTGAGCACTTTGCTGGCACGCTGGCAGTACCAGATCATCTAAAAAGATATTGTTTTCTATTTTTACTCCAAATTCCGAACCGTTCCGATCAGCTGCGAGCAGGCGCGGCCCGGCTGCGCGCACACGTTGAACTGACAGGTGAAGGTGTCGCGTAACACCGTGGCGAACTCCTCGTAGTCCATGTCAAGGAATCCTAAAAGAATCAAAGTTTAATTTAGAAAGAAGCCGCTTACGCTCCACACAGAACGTCTCCAGTGTCGCCCAAAGCCCGTCGTTGTACGGAACTCGGCACGACGACTCGCGCAAACGGATGATGTCCTTGGCCTCTTTTTCGTCCACGGGCTAAAAAAGGCGTTTACATAATATTATTTTAGATAGTTTCACATAGGATTTTAATAATTCTTTTTGCAACGGCATGACAAAAATGAAAATCACCGAACTAGGTCCCTGATCGAAGCTACTGCCAATAAATAGGCCAATTTCTTTCCTAACGAAAAGATGATCGAGATGATCGATTTGAATTGAAAGTCGAAAACCACGAATCACTTACTCGATCTTCCTGAGCCGAATGGATGATCACCGGAATGGCGAGTGCAGCCTTGCGAACCTGCATCGGGTCATCCGAGTGGCGACTACCCTTCGCGATAAATTCCTGAAGCTCACGCAGGCACGTTCGAACCTTCTGGGGATGGACCCTAAACAAAAAAATTGTAGATAAGCTTCAAGGTCACCTCGAGAAAATCTCCAGCAGCTGTAGAGCTTCCGCTTGACCAATATTTTTCTCCTCTTCCTCTTTGTTGATTTTCTTCTTCCTCTTCGCTCCGATCACCTAAAGCAAAATTGATCGACGGTCTGCCAAGACAAACCATTGTCAAATAATCGGTGACTCCGGAGCCGACATCGTCAAGGGTATTGGCGCAGCATACGCTCGATCACTTCACTCACGCAGTTGTACTCAACCTAAAATACGTATTTTCACAATTTTCCGAACAAGCGCCTGAAGGAAAAACCTCGAAACTCACCTTCTTCGTCCCCTTCAGCACTTGCAACATCTTTCTAGCGGTTGCCGGGTCTGCGACATCCGATTGTCTGAAAAATCGTTGCTCTGCGAATATTGGGTTAACATACTCGTTCTGGGAGATGAGCATCTTCCGTGCGGCGTTCACGACCTCCTTTTGGATATCGACGTTGTTGCGCCAGATGAGGGCGAAGACTTGCCGGATGACTTTGTCAGAGTCGCTGGAAAAAAGTGATTGAAGAAAGAAAAAAAAAAGCCAACCAAATCTCGAAATTCTTGCACTCGATGATGAAGTTGATGGCCTCCTTCAATTCGGCGGCATCTCCGTGGAGGGCACCACGCAAAGCTGACTGCAGAGAATCCGAAAGCGCAGAGGCCGCATGCAATTTCGTCTAGAATGCGGGATTTAATAAAAACTAAAACTCAAAACTGCTAAAACACTAGAAAAAGTACACCAGAATACGCAAAAAACTTTGCTACCCGCTAATTGTCCATAAACAAAAAAATGTACCTGCATGTAGGCAATGCTGTCATTGCACTTCCTTAATTTATCCAGCCAGTCCGCACGCCGCTCCTCCTTCAGCATATCGTTGGTCGGGAGCTAAAAAAATTTAAAAGGATAGCATTTTTCAAATAAATCATACCATATTCTCCGAGATCAATCTCTCCTTCATGCAGCGATCACACGCGTATTCCATGATGACGTCAACGAGCTTGTTTTGTTCGGTGGGATCCCTGAAAAAGTGAAGGATCCAAACGAATACGGCCCGACTCACTCCATATTGTAATCGGCTAGGTCCCAGCCGAGCTCCTTGAATACGCCGAGCTTCAACAGGCGAACGATGCTGCCGATCAGGTCATGGAAGTCGCCAGTCTCGGCCGCCGCCTGGAAGAGGAAGGCAGGCCACCTAAAATTGAGTTGAAACCGCTACTAGTAATCATACCCCGCAATAACGTCGTCGGAAAAGTCATCGTCTTCGTCGAGCGGCTCTTCATGGCTTCCCCAATCGACCGTCGCAAAACCCGTGACAAGCTGAAAATCGTAAGGAAAAATGAATACAATAACTCACATTGCTTCTGACCAGATCATGGTGGCGTTCGACGTACGCCTCGGCGCGGCGCTGGGGGTCGAAATCTAGGAATTTGCAATTGTGCCAAGTTCAAAAATCCCTTACCAGGATCATTGGCCACCAGGGCTTCGCGCTCGGCCAGCAGCTTTTGCAGATGGCTCGTGTTGGCCTTCCACGAGAACTAAAGCGGGAGTATGTACGCGAAATACGTTTACAAACGCACGTCATGGCCGTAGACGTTGTTCTTCAGGAATGACGACATGAAGGCGATGGCGGGCTTGCGCACCAGCACCTGCTTATCCTCCAGACGTTCGCCTAAAAGGTATAAAGTGGGGGGAAACCATAAATCAAGCGAATAAAATAAGGTGGCTCACCAATGTAGTCGATTATGCCGTTGTCGACGACACTGCTCGGGATTCGCTTTGCATCGGCCAGCAGACGCCACAGGTTGACGACTTTCGCACGCACCTGGGTCGCTTGATCGCGCAGGTGGCGCTAGAACTACTGTATAAGTTTTTAGGAATTGTCTTGCCTGCAGAATATCCATGAACGTGGCGCGATTGTCGCGCAGCATGCTGTTCAGCTTGCACTTTTCGTCGGACAGCTCATTGGACATGACCAGCTCGGCGAGGGCGGTCAGCACGGCGCCGCGGAGTTGATGAGGCTGAAAAATGGTTCTCAGACACGACGAGATTTTTACGTCTTCTTGCAAGAACGGCATGATGCTGGCAATGTTCTTGAGCATAATCTGCGGGGCGCGCGAGGAGATTGTCTGAAAAATCTGCATTTTAGAAATCACTTTGCATAAATGTCGGATTTTGGAATGTCAGAACATTTCCGGAGACGTAAAACTGACTTGCTTTCCCGCAACAGCTGTGCGTTATTTCCTACTTTTTCTTCCCTCCTATTTGGTACAACAGTTGCGGAATGCTACTTCAATTTTTCACTATACTCATCATTCTGCTCAGCGTAAACTGCGGTGGTGGTGGTGGAAGTAAGTAAACTTATATTCATTTCCAACAAAAAAACTGAATAAGAAATTAATTAAATGATTACAGAAGCCCCGGCAAAGAAGCCGGCGAGCACCCCGCCAATCGAAGAGGCGCACGTAGACGAACAGCCGCAGAAGCCGAAGCCCAAAGAAAGCCGCGAGGGCAAGAGCAAGGAGCCGAAGAGAGCCAGGTGAGAAAAAGCGGAATATCATCCTCAAACCCCGTTCTAGGATGGTGCCTACGAGGACTACGAACTTCCCGCAAAATGATGCAAAAATGAGCCGCCGACCTGAACGAAGCAAACCAGGGCCCTCGTCGTGTTGTGGTTCGCCGACGTTAATTCCTGCGGCCTGATCATCGCCATTTGTACGAGCATGCTGCTCAGCACATTGTCCAGGGCATCTTAAATAAATGATTTGTAAAACAACGGAGCACGTACTCTTTTTTGCCGGCGACGTCCTCGTAGAGCTCCGGCTTCTCCGGGTCGAGCGTTTGGCGTTGGATGGCCTCGATGAAGGGGAAATTGTCCTTGATCCACGCCAGGTGAATGGTTTTCTCGAGGATCAGGGCGCCGAGAACTGAAAGGAACGGGCGTTTCAACGAAAAATGTGGAAAATTTGATTTGATAATTAAATTTGACAGGAATTGCTTTATTTTTGAAAAAGGAAAAGATTACAACCGATAAAACAAACCGTCCGACTGTCCGAAACCGAGCGCAAGCGGCACCAAGAGGCGACAAATCTGCACCAGCCAAACGTTCTGCTTGAAGCGATGGTCCTCGTTTTCGAGCCATTCCAAGAAAATGCGACTGACGGTTCTGAAAATAAAAGCAAAAAATGAAAAAAATGTTTTACGAACCTGAGGAACATTTTGTCGGCCACTCCCTGGGGCCAGAGGAAGCGGATGGCGTGGCGCACCTTGTTCCCATGCTGCGGATCGACGATTTCTTGGGAGAGCAGAAGCACAAGTTGATTGAGGATCGCCTGAAACGAGAATAGTGAAGGGTTATCCGAAAAACTGACATATCGAACGTCCGCCCACTGCTCCATGCCCTTCCACTCGTCGGGCACTTCTCCGGTCATATCCATCGGCTCATCTTCCGCCTCATCATCGACCGTTGGTTTTCTGCCACGCCCTCGACCGCGGGCTTTCGATTGTTGTAGTCGTCGCTGGGCACTCCTGAAAGAAAACTGTTCATAACCTAGGTTTTTCACCGACCATTTGAGCCAGGCCTGTTCCAGTCGTGTGTTGACGCGCCATAGCAGGTAAATGTGCATCAAAAGGCTCTTACGGCCGCGCAGCGCTTGTTGGGCCTCCTAAAAAGAAATTGCCGCCAAGTAAATTTCATTACCTCTTGCTGGAGCATTTCCGAGTTTGGTCGGATGAGGAACGGCAGCCCTTCAACGATCAGCTGCTGCACTTTTCTCGATGCCTAAATTTGATAGATCCCAGAAAGAACGAAATGACACACCGACCACCAGCGCCTTGGCCAGGTCTACAAAAATGCGTAGATCTTTCACTTCGTCTTCGTCGGCATTTGTCGGGCGCTTGACCAGCACGTAAAGGTAGTCGAAGTAGCGGAAAATCAGCTCAACGTCAGCCGGCTCATCGTGGCACTTTTGTACGAATTCTGAAGTTCAGGGTATTGAGCGAGGGCGATATAGCAACTCACCGCGAAATTGTTCAATGGAGATCTGCAGGTCCTCGACGAATCGGACCGAGTATTGGCCGTCGCGCTCCATCTGAAGATCCTCATCGCGCTCGGGGATGATAAATCTAAACCAACCCTGTTTCTGGAATTACAATTATAACTTACACATCGTCATCGTCTTCTTGATTCATTGCTTTGGAGGAATCCTCTAGGCAATCCTGTAAGTCAAGGTTTTTGCCGCAGAGACGGTCTATTCCAGCCTTTTCAAAACAAGGATGTATAGGAAAATATAATAATCTGGTGAATGGTCAGGAAACCACATATCCAAGACACCATCTAACATACATGTAACAATTTATCCAAAGTAATAGCCTGTGATTGAGCAAATAACCGTTATCATGAGGTCATGAGATGCAGGTACCCGAAAGATTTGAATGTCATCGTACAATCAAACAACGGAGGGGCAAGAGTTACAAAGTTAGCTTTGAGCAAAAGCATAGGATACAAAATGCATAAATAAATATCGTGTATTCATCGATTTTCCTTTTCTTCGATGCTGTTGAGGATGAAGTTGCACTCCTGAAGCGAGATGGCCAGTCGGATTTTCTTCAGGAACCAATTTCGAGAGGCCGGGTTGTTGGTGACCGGGGCGAGCACGAGGAGGCGCATGCTAAAATATAGCCAAATTCAGGCTTGCCTTCCAAAGAATTACCTAGCCAATTTCGACACCCGCTCCCGGACCATCATTTCGCCCATCACCGCGTAGGTGTCGTGAGCTTGGATCTGGTACTGCTTGTACAACTCGGCAAAGCGGATTTCCTCAACACCCTTCGCTTGTACCTAAACAACAATATTTAGCGGAAAAAAATATTAATAATACCTCGGCGACGAGAGCCTTGAATAAAATCAATTCGTGTTCCGACAGGCTAGCGATGTAGGCCATCCGGATCGTGGCCTGTGACTCGGCGATCGCCGCTTGGACCTGAATGATGAGAAAGTCAGCGAAAAACGCAGGAAAGCATACATGTTCTATCAAAATTTTCTCCGACTTCTTCCGGACGGCAATCTCGCCAGCCTGCCGCATAATGTCGATCGCCTTGCGTAGATCACCGGAGAGGGCGGCCACCTGAAACCTAAAATTCGTTGTAATTGAATTTCCTACCTTTCGACTGGCGAGTTGAAGGGCTTTGTCATCAAAGGCCCCGGTGTCCTTGAAACGCCCATTGATGATCTGCTCGATTTGCCGGAAGTCGTACGGGTCGAAGCACAGGCGATTCGAGCCCTAAACTATTTTTTTTGAAGAATCGAAAAAAAAACGACCCACCAATCGACTAGATACACGCTGAGACAGCAGCCGCTCTGGTAGATCGAGCGTGTTGGCGATGGCAATAACGGTGATCCGAGCCTTCTCGTTTGTCGTCCAGTTGAAGATGTCATAGATCAGCTAAAAAAAGAGTATCTTTTCGCCGCAAATAGACCCACATCCTGTCTCTTCGTGCACATGTGATCCAACTCGTCGACGAGGATGACAATTGGTTTCCGTTTCTTGTCGATCATCTCAAACTTGGCATTCAATTGTCGCCGCGCGGCCAGCACCCCAATTTTGTTAGCGCCGGGAACCAATCTAGGCCACTTGTTCGATCATAAAATCAAAGCCTACGCTTTGTACAAAACAACGAAGAATTGTCGAGGATCGACGAACTCCATCGCGTTCACGTAGACGTACTTGAAATCGGGCGCCGACTTGTCACTTTGTAACTTGCGAATGACCTAGAAAAAGATGAATACCTACGGAAAAATGAACCGTTTGAACTGTTGCCGTTTTCCCCGTGCCAGGCACACCGGAAATGTACATCGCCGCCGATTCGCCGCCCGGCTTTATCGAGTTCCGCACAAACTGGGCGACGCGTTCGATTTGTTCTTCTCTAAATTTGAGTTTTTGCGCAAAAAAAAGTAAACGAACCGGCAAGGCAAGTCATCGGGCACGTAGGAAGTATTCAGCCCATTCAGCATGTCACGAATCCGATTTTGAGGGGGAACCTCCAGGTCAAAATCCTTGGGCTTGTACTTCCCCGACTTCGTCCGCACTAGTTTCACCTTCAGATCATCCTTCAGCGGTGCCGCATATTTCACTTTTAGAGTAAGCTAAAATAAAGTTTAAGAACAAAAAGAGCGTCAACCTGAGCTACTGGGCAGTCAGGCGCTGGCAATTTGGTTAACGTCGCTTTCACCATTTTAGACCTGCAAAAATTTTTAATTATGTTATGATGCGACGATCTCAGTAAAAGCTACGGAGAAATAGCAACCGATATAGCGGTTTTAATCATTAACCACTTCGATGATGATAAACAAATTTATCCATAGATTCAGGGAACCGCAATAAATAACTCAAGCAACGGCAAAATCACAACATCACACACATTGGTACAGCGCCGAAAGACGAAATTGAGATCATTTCTGATAGCCGTAGACGAATGGGACACCGGATGGTACCTCGGCTTGGTATTTGGCGTAGGCAGGGCCGAAGAATTGGAGTAGATCTCTGGAAAATGGTTATGAAAAGATTTGATGGGGCAAAGTTACTTCTCTTCCTCGATCAAACGGTCCCGGAAGAAGAGATAGGAGGCGATGAAATAGAGCACAGTACAAATGGGGTTGCACAGGACGATTTGAGTCGACACGGACCAGAGGAACCAGCCGGTGTAGCCTGAAGCGTTTCAAAATTCATAAAAATAAGGCAAGACATGCCTGGATGCCTGAAGCATGAGTAGACTCCATTGGTGACCAGCAGATGGTCAGCCTGTTTTGAGTTGGCAAGGCGATGAGTGAACCCGACGCCAGCATGGACCATGGCCACCTTTCGAAGAGCCTAAAAATAAAGTTTATTGAGATAGGACGTCACTTACCTCGCCAAGAAGACACCCGCAAACCCCGATCGTGCTGATCCAGCCGAGCTTCATCTCAGGGAAGAAATAACTTTCCACGGAGAACTCAAACCAGGACAGCCCGGCGGCCACCCAATAAGCGACAGAGTGGTTGAGCAGAAAGGAGTCGCTCTAAAAACGAAAAATGCACTTAGACATTTGAAACACCTTCAATGAACGTCGATTTGTGATCCCGGTGAAGAGGAATTCGGTGAAGTGGAAGAACGACAGCAGCGCGAGATAGCGGGCAAAGGTGAATACTAAAAACTAAATGTTGGCAATACGGGCAAAATACCTGTCGGTTCAGGACATAGTAGGGCAACAAAAGCGCTATTCATAAATACCTAAAAAACGGATTAGCCTTAACTAAGCTTGGAAAGCCAACAAATCCAATGTGTAAAGCTTGCATGCCAATGATATAACAGTCCCAATCCTGTTGTCTGCAGAATCGCTTATTGATCTCGTAGCACACCATGGAGCCGTTTGCCACTAAGACTTCTCGCGATCAGGTAGATAACGCCAACCTACCCATCCGGATCCAACCGGTAATCCCGAAGTATGCGCAGCCAAACAAGATAGCTGTTGAGCTCGTGCAGGCGAACGCAAAGCTTCGAACCTAAAAGCTAATTATATGATGCTTCACGATAAATCATCTACCGCACACTTCACCATCGCGTCCGTCGTGACCAGCGTCCCTGTGTGTTTTATGAGCTCCCAAACGCCCATGTTTCGCGTGCTCATCGCTGAAAGTTTTTGTAGAACACAGCTTAGAACTAATGACAGGAAAATAAAGTTGACAAGCAAGATTTGCTATGTCTCGATTGGCAAAAATCTGGGCGCACATAAGATAAACTCAGTTTGGAAATGGATAAACCGGTATAACGGCCAAAACAACCAAAGCATTCCTGGTAAAATATATTTATGCACAGAGATCGATTCACCGGAGATCGCAATGAAAACAAAAGAAGAAATACATGACAAAATCACAACATTACTCAAAAATCGGCACAATAAAAGACGATGAGATCATTTCGGATAACCGTAGACGAAGGGGATTCCGGATGGCACCTTGGCTTGGTACTTGACGTAGGCGGGGCCAAAGAATTGCAGTAGACCTCTGGAAAAAACCATTTTAGATGAATGAAAAGTAAGTTTACCTCTCTTCCTCCATCACTCGATGCCGGAAGAAGCGATAGGAGGCGATGAAATAGAGCACAGCACAAATGGGGTTGCACAGGACGATTTGAGTAGAAACGGACCAGATGAACCAACCGGCGTAGCCTGAAGCTTTTACAATTAATTGAACTAAAGCAAAACATGCCTGGATGCCGAAACCACGAGTAGATTCCATCGGTAACAAGGTCGGCCTGCTTCGACGTGGCCAGGCGTGGCGTGAAAGCGACGCCAGCATGGACCATGGCCAACTTTCGAATAGCCTAGAAATAAAGTTTATTGAGATGGGCCAACACTTACCTCGCCAAGCAGACATCCGCACACTCCAATCGTGCTGATCCAGCCCAACTTCATCTCGGGGAAGAAATGTGATTCCACCCAAAACTCGTACCAGGACAGCCCGGCAGCTACCCAATAAACGGCAGAATCAGTGAGCAGAAATGAGGAGCGCTACAAAAAAATGTAAGACGCCCATCGTATTTACCTGTAAATACCGTCGATTTGCGATCGCGGTGAAAAGGAATTCGGTAAAGTGGAAGAACGACAGCAGAGCCAGGTAGCGCGAAAAACACATTTCTGAAAAATATTCGCGACTACAGGAAATTTTAAAAAAATACCTGCAATGTCACCGCAGAGGAGGGCCGAAAAAGAACTGTTGAGAAACATCTAAACCTGGTTGAATGGATGAATTTCTAAAACGTACGGATCCCAGGCGCTGAGCCTGAAAGGTGACAAGGTAGCAGTCCCAGCCTTGTCCAAAGCACAATAAATTATTGATCTCGAACAGTATCCGGTCGGAGCTGATCACTGACTTCTCGCAATGAGGTAGCTAAAGTCAACCTACCTTCAGTGAACCAGCCGAGCTGCTCGAAGTATACGGCGGCCACTGGGAATAGAGTTCTAGCGACACAGTAGAAGAAAACGCTACGAACCTAAGATAATTAAAATCTAAGCGTGCGAGACAGAGTACCGCATACTTCACCATCGCGTCTGTCGTTACCAGCGTCCACGTATGCTCCATGAGCTCCCTAACGCTCATGTTACGCGTGCTCATCGCTGAAAAAGAAAGCATTTTTTGTACAGAATTTTTTGGTGAAGAGGTTGAAAATGTAATTGTCTAGCAGGACTATGATATGTTTTTCTTTCATGAATTCGCGACTCCTAAGGAAAAGATGGACGGAGATAGCGGCGAAAATACTGGTATCAGTTTTCAAAGAAAAACTATTAGAATGAAAGAAAATAAAAGAGAAAAGTTTCTGAAATTTATAATTTTTTTTTGCAATATTCGAAAGGCCTAACGCCATGGAATTCAGCTACGGCTACGGGGCGTGCCAAATGACGCGAAAAGTCGCGGTACGCTAAAAGGCGGGCGCGAGAATCGAATTGACCTAACTTGGTGAAAATGTAAAAGAAAGAGAAAAGTAGTAATAAAATTAAAGAGAGAAGAAAATAAAAGGGAGGAATCGAATTGGTAAGAAACGATCCATCAAATCAATTGGATGCCGTCGATCATCTAAGTAGAATAAATGTTTAGATCGTATTGCTAATCACATCTTTGCGACAAAGCTGAACTTTTATCTCCGAAATGAAGACGAGTGTATCAAGACCGAGAAATATATTTTGCATCAAAAGTTTGAAGCCATGCAGGAATGGCACTGTCGAAGCATGCGCCGGCGTATACTCGTTTAGTGAGGGGGACGGTTTGGACTCGCGCGGTCTGCGGATTCGGGAATTTTGCATTTCCGGGCAGATTGCGAGTATTAGCCTCTTCGAAAAATTCGACGAGATTTTGCCTTCTTGTTGCTGTCTCCCCTATTTCTGGAACCATTATTCAGCAAAAATGGTGCGCCATTTTACTTGATGATCTCTCTCTCTCTCTCTCTCTCTCTCTCTCTCTCTCTCTCTCTCTCCTTCTCTCGTTCTTTCTCTCTGTATCTTTGATGAAGGCTTGCTGTCAAATATATTTGAATATACGCAGATCCGTAAGCTTTATTCAGCAAAACCCGATTCAGTCGATACACCCGCATATCTGTAGGCTCTCACGTTTTCCTAAATCTTTTATTATACCACAAGCTCTGTGCTTATACCTCATTTATTTATTATTTAAGCTTACATTTCGGTCTATAATGGACGAACGGGTGAAAGATGATGATCAAAATCATCAGTCCGAGCAGGATCAGGAAGTAGAAAAGCTAGGAAGAGCTTACAAAACCAGAGATTGAAAATTACGCTCCGTACACAGCCATCCCAGATACAATTCGAGTTGCGCCCTCGCTCCTGCTAAAACGGCAGAAAATCGGTTTGGAAAACGACAAAAATCCCTCACGTATTGCAGCAGCGGGCCTAAAGGAAGACTTTATCATAAACTGGTGCTGTGGGAGTTAGGAGCTAGGAGCCGAGAGCTGGAAGATAAAATCACCCAAAATGCTATCCGTGATGAAACGCAACGCTACTTTTTTCCCTCTCAGCTCCTAGGTTTATCAAAAACATTAGATTAGGAAATTCGAAAAGCTTTAGCTAGGAGCTAGGAGCAGGAATTTGCGTTAAGAAGCTCCCAGCTCCCAGCTACGAAAGCTAGCGTTAAAACTGCGATTATCTTAATTTTGACGTACCTAAAATAATAAACGGCACGCGGTCCTCAGCGTCGTGGATTGGCATTCTAAAGTACCGACAATTTTGAGGACTGCAAATAGTATATAACGAAGCATTAAAATCATAAAGGTTTATTCAAAACCATTCAGTTCACAAAAATTCATCAAAAAACATTCGAATTCAATCCCGGGTGAAAAGGTGGTTGTCCGCGAAGCGAAACATTGGGTCTGGGTCTAAAAAGGCGAAAAATACATTAGAAAAATTCAGATAAAGGGTACTAGACTGTTAGCGAGGGGATAATTTTTATTTTCCGCATGGGGTTATTTTATAAATAAGACTAGTAGATTTTGATGGCGTTTTTAGCAGTTTCTGTTTGCTAGGAAAGTGTATGGAAATTTGTGGTCATTTTTCATGCATTTTTGATAAAAAGGCACTCTTTACTACTGTTTCACTTTTTCCTGGTTTTCAAAGCTACAAAAACTCTGTAAAATGCGATAAATGGTTAAAATCCGATTTTATGCGTATAAGCATTTACTTAAAAAATTGCCTTGCCCCAGCCCTCCCCCCGCTAATAGTCCAGTACCGCAAAAATACTCGTTGATTCGGTTGAACTCATTCTCTATCGGCCATTGCATATACCCCTCTCTACAGAAAGCATCAATGGGACAGCATAACAACAAAAAACGTGGTTGGAAAAATATTGAAAAACGGAACATCGACATCAAAAGCTGTACCCATACCAGCAAAGTTTAATTTAAAGGGATGGTGGTATTTTTGATACTACAGGGTGTCCCAAAAAAAAAGACCCCCCCCCAAAAATTTGAGCCAGAGGGCACCTACGGAGCTGAAAATTTGCACAGAGGTAGCGAAGGCAATTTTCTATGAACAAGGCAAGTTTCAGCCCGATCGGCCAGCGGGTTTTAAAGTTATAGCGAAAATACTTTTCATTTTTAATTTAATATGGGGATCTTTGCAATTTGCATCAAAGATATGCGTTATTCTTGCATTTATGAGCCGATTTTGCATGAATTTCGCTGAAAAGTGCCATTTTCTTGATGGAGCTTTTGGAAGACGATTGCTCATGTAGCGAGAAAATGATCAGCAAGAACGATGAATACCAGACCTCATGGCGGAAACTATCGTTGAACGCTTGAGCTTGGCTTAAACTTCAGCGTACGCGCAAACATAAGCCCAAATCTAAACTTCAACACTGTTTTCGAGCTCGTCGAACTCTGGTTTCGGGCCAACGAAGCTCAAATTGCCAAAATGTACAATAAGACGTGATTTGGATCGATAAAACAGTTGTTTTAACACTCTTTTTATTCTTCATACGCAATCGTTTTCCAAAAGCTCCATCAAGAAAATGGCACTTTTCAGCGAAATTTATGCAAAATCGGCTCGTAAATGCAAGAATAACGCATATCTTTGATGCAAATTGCAAAGATCCCCATATTAAATTAAAAATGAAAAGTATTTTCGCTATAACTTTAAAACCCGCTGGCCGATCGGGCTGAAACTTGCCTTGTTCATAGAAAATTGCCTTCGCTACCTCTGTGCAAATTTTCAGCTCCGTAGGTGCCCTCTGGCTCAAATTTTTGGGGGGGTCTTTTTTTTTGGGACACCCTGTAGATCTGGATCATTTTCACTTCACCATGCCTTTAGAGGCCATCAAAATAATTCGCAGGGCAAGAAACGAACTGTACTTTGGTCAACCCGTACTCAAGGGGGTGTGGTTGGTGGGAAGAAAATATAGAAAGTAGGTATAAAAAATGTAAAAATGAAATTTGGAAATGGGGGAATACTAACATCGCCTGGGGACCGGCTTATTGATAACGTTAGGAGTTGCAATTCAGCTCAAAATTTTAGGAGTGGAAAAACAAAAATTTTAGTGAAAATTACACTTTTTATTTCTGGAATTTCGCTCTGAAAAAATTGATTTGTCAAAAAAAATCCCGCCATGTTAAAGTTACTCAAGCTTATGAACTAGATTTTTTAAGGGAAGTGCATTTTCAATTATAATTATTTTACCCTATTTTTAATTTTAAGTATATTTTATGATCACGTTTAATCACTCTAAAGGATGCGTCATTTGGCGTTTTACGTAGCTTTTTCGCTACAAAATTTTCACATTTTTCGAATCCCATTAAATTAAAAACGCTCTGATAATTAAATGTATCAAAAATCAGTGCAAGGTGTGCGTGGATTGGCGTATTTCGTAGCCCAAAAATCGAATCCAGCCGCTCCGAGTAGTCTTTGAAATGACGATTCCGGGGGATTTCCACCCTCCAAATTGGCCTGAGCGCCAATATGGTGGAGAGATTGGAATGTTTTTAGAAAGTGGGGGAGAGGTAGAAGTAGTGAGGGGGAAAGAGTGGGACTCCCGCTGCGTGGAGCCCAATTTGATGCTCCCCCTTTCAGAAGCGGTCCACGGAGGCACATTGGAAGTTGGAGAGTGAGGTACTCACCACCCAGGGGAATATTGGCCCAATAAAGGCGAGAAAACGCGGGGTGTTCCCAAGGAAGTGTGGGGCCCGCTCCAGGGCGGCTCAGATTTCTGTCACTGATTCTCCACATTTTTTTCGCCTAGATGTGAAAATGATTGAAGACTTTTTGGAAGAAACAGGGAAACTAGAGTTCAAAATTTTAGAGCAACGGATACGTAGCTTGGAAAGTTATCCTCTCTCTCTCTCTCTCTCTCTCTCTCTCTCTCTCTCTCTTTCTCTTGTCAGCTCTCACTCTCCACCCTCTTGCTCCCCCCTATAGGGCCAGGTAAGGAACGCCATTTATCTGGCTATGGATTCGTTCGGGTTCGCGTCCTCCGATGGCGGCTAGAAACTCTAAATTCTTGAATTTTGGAATTTTTCCGGTTGTTAGGTAAAAGAGGAAAACGTTCCGGCTCTCCCTTAATTTGCGTATCAAAATTGAAAAGAACTGAAGCTAAATCAGGTGGAGGTCTAAAGACAAAGCCTCCCTCCAAAGACACGCCACGCCACCGGGCGAAGGAGGTGTGTTTTTTGGAGTGGCTCGAATTGCTTTCCACTCCCGGGAAAGGAAGTGTGCCCTAATGAAATTTCGGAGGGGGTCTCGTCGCACAGAACCGGATGTGCGGTAGCGACTAACAAAATAGGAGGTGAAATTTGTGATAAATCGAAACCGGGATTCTATTTAGTGTTTTTACGACACCGATTTGCCATAGAAATCTGGAAGGTCTAACTTAAAATTTTTCTGGAACTTTTCAAATATTTCTAGCATATCAGGCGTTTTTTAGGGTCGGACAGCCTACACTAATTTTCTGAGCGCATCAAAGAATTACATTTGCGGATAATCTACAAAATTAGCATCCATTCTTGGCTATTTCAGGCATGGCAACGCCGCAATGCCGACAGCCAAAACCCGGACATTAAAAATATCGAGTAAAACAGCTGCTTTTACAAAGTCTTACAAGGTTAGTAGCTGTTGGGTGGCATCCAAAGTAGCGTCAAGGGAATGTCGGGAATTTGGCCGGCCTGTCGGCATTCTGGCTGTCGGAATCTTAGCTGTCGGGATTCTGGCTACCCTTCAGGCATTTCATTCCGTCTACTTCCATTCGAGCTTCATCCAATAAGCCGATCCCCACAGAGCGCGTTTCTACGGGTTTCAATTCGCGGCCGTTGAGCCCAAATTCAAATTTCAAGGCCCATTGAAGCCATCGAATCGAGGCCCAAAAACTGGCAAGAAAAAAAAAATACATAAATTTTTGCATAAACACAGGGGAAAATGCAAAGCTGGCGAGGTTGCTGGGCTGGGCTCGGCGAAGCGACTTGCTCTTTTAGACTTTCAGCTCACTTCGCACCGCACTCGGCGGCATTGTCGCGTTCAGCCAGTGTGTCATAACTGAGTAGTTTTGGGCTCTATGCCAAATATACCTCAGCTACGATCTTCCCTAATGGGGCTGTTACTTATTTTTATAGTCAGGTACCCTGTTAACCTAACTATCTGCTATGCGCGCTATGGGTTGCTCCCAGAACCTTGTTATGTGGCGAAAGTCATCCCTCGACTTAGGAGGGGATATATTTTATATAATTTATTGGGCAGTTAAGTAAAGACAAGGACAAGGGAAGGGACCGGGAAAGGTGCCGGCCAACGCGACTAGCAAACCCTACTGAGATGAGTCATCCAAAAATAAAGGCAACCTGATGGGATTGGTGCAAGGGGGAAGACTAAAGACTTGGGGGTCCCCAAGGGTATGGCCCGTTGGGGGCGGGGCAGGGAATGGTGCCGCAGGCACCATCCCACCTGATACAGGACATGTCCCTCTCCCAAGCAAGTTGCGTCCCGCAACTTCTAGGAGTGCGGGGGGGATAAATTGGGAATAAAAGAAGACAATACAAAAAAATAACAGACGTGTGGATATTGAGATAAGTGTGGTAACGGAAAGTGGGGTAAGGGTGTTTAGATTGGAATAGCAAGGAAATTTTAAATTGAGAAACAGGATTTTTACTAGTAGTGGAGATGGCGGTGAAGGATTGGAAAAAATGATACAGAAGGGAACTTAGAAAATATATAGGCGAATTACTAGAATGGAGGGAAATGAGGGTGCAATTATAAAGATATTCTGCGAATGGATTAATAGATTACAGTATCGTTAATTGTGAGATACGAGGAAATTTGGGATAAAAAAATAGAAGTTTGGCGTAAACTTGGGAATCGAAAAAGAAATAAGAATAGATAAATTTAAGCGGAATTTGGTTACACGTAAAGTGGAAGGTTTAGTTAAAGTCCGGTGGTGAGGAGAGTAAGATCTTAGGTTAGGAATAAACAACTGAAATTTGGGAGTAATGTATTTAATGGGTTAGCAGGGGTGATTTTGATATGAAAAATAGGTATAAAGCTACAAGGATGAATATGTTTTAGAACAAAATTTGGGGAAAACGAAAGATTAATGTTGTCTAAAAAAATTAGAATAAGTGAGAAATGATGAAATATTAGTTTAATTGTGAGAATTCAATACATAAATTTAGTTGGGGTTGAGAAGTTTTAGAGGGAAAAATGTGTAGGTGGATATATGAGAAAAATGGCTAGTTAGAGTTTAGTTTTGGATCTGAATAAAGTTATTTGGGCTATTTGGATGATAGATTACAACGTAAGGTTGGAAAAGAAGTGGGACTTGCGCATTTCGCTTCGGCTTCTTCCTTCGGTGGCATGCGTGAGGAGCGGCTGGGCACACTGCGTTGAGCGTTTCGGCTGCACGACATGGCTCGTCTAGTTGGCGGGCGCTTCGTAGCAATCTCGATCACTCTTCAGGCTTAGTTGCTCTACAAAAGGTGGTGAAGTTGAGTTGAATGAGTTGTTAGTGGCTCTGCATGTTTCCTGTCTGTTTAAATTAAGAAGAAAAAAATTAGGAAGGTGTCTTGGAGGTTTGTAATGTGTGTCATTATTGGCTTTGGTGCGTGTTTCCTGTTTGGCCATGAGTCCAGTGGAGATATTTGAAGTCTTCCGCAACGTCGTCGTTTGATCTTCTTGGTTGGCTCAGCACATTTGTCAGCATTGCTTCCTGAGATTATGTTGGCTTTCGCCATTTCGTTATAATTTAAATCGTAATTTGGATTTTTTTAGTTCTTTTGAATTTCTGATTTTGTTGATTTTTATGGGTTTTTTATTGAATTTTGAATTAGAAGCTTAAAAGCAAATCAGTGTTCGAATCACTGTTTATAGGTTTTTTAATAACGAAAGAAAAATTAGTTAGACATAAAAATTGCTTAATAGTAGATATATTTTTTAGTTAAAAGAGCTATTGAATTATGAAAGGGGGTGTGTTAAGAGTTATAGTAGGATTTTTTTAATTACTGGGTTTCTAGATTAGCTTAGAAAAGAATTTTTTAAACAGGAATTTTAGAAGAAATTTATTTAGATTATTTTAGCTTAGGACTATAAAAGAGTATTTTTAAAGGGTTTTTAGATAAGTGTTCGAGTCACTGTTTGAAGTTTAAAAAAATATGGAAGCTAGGAAAGTAAGAAATAAAACGGGGGGCTTGGTGCTAAACTTTTTTTTAGTTATTACGCGCAGAAGGAAGGGATTTTGGATTTCTATTGGATAGCTAATCACATTCTCGCTCTGCCTCAAAAATTTTGTTCTCGTTTGTTTCGTTGTCGGTGAGTCTTCGGTATCATATTTTTTTTAGCTTCTGTTCATTACTTGTCTTTTCTTCTGTCGGCAAGTTCTCTTCAGATGCCCGATTTGTCCGCAATAAAAACATTCTCTTCGATGTTGCCCGTTTGTTGGGCGATCTTCATTATTCACTTGCAATTGGGGTCGTTCATTCTGACTTCTTTCGTCAGAGTATCCTTGATTATTCTGACATCGTTCGTCAGAGTATTTCTCATCGGTTCGCCGCGCGAAATCCGGAAACGGTTGTTGGTAATTGCATTCTTCATTATTCTCTTCTGTTTCTTCATTATTTGGAGTATCGATAGTAGTGACTTGAGCTCTATTTGGCTTGTTTAGTTCGTATTTTATTTCGACTTTTCTGGCGAGATTAAATAGTTCTTCTGTTGTCATTCTCGAAAAATCCACCTTTGCAAACTTTTGCTGTATTTTTGGCAAAGTTCTGGTCAATAAGGCGGTACGAATTGCATCATCCACGTTTTCCATTTGTAAAATTGTCGCTAATTCTTTAATTGAGACGACGTATTCAGCTAAGCTTTGGGTTTCGCCTTGTCGCTTGCTGTGTAGTTCTACCAATAGCTTATGTTTTAGCTGGTTAGTATCAAAGTAGGCCGATAATGTTTCAATTATTTGATCGTAGTTGCGCCGATCAGAGTCCATCAGTTCGATGACGGCTTTTGCTTCGCCTTGAACTAATAGCATTAAGCTGCGCTTGATTGCCGTGCTAGCAAGTCCATAAGCTCTCGCTGTCGTCCAGAGTTTGCGCAAGAACTGTCCAAGTGCTTGGTTCTGGCCAGTGTAAACCAGGCCAAACCCTTGAATGATTTTCAGCTGTTCTCGTAGTTCTTTCGGAGAAAGCAGCTCATCTTCCTCAACATTTTCCTGCTCACTCTGATTTCGTGATCTTCTCAACATTTGCGTGGCAGCTTGGAGCATTTCTAATCTTGGCATATCTTGATTTCCCGTTTAAAAAACGAGATTATTTTGAGGCGAGTGCGGATTGTGCTTACGAGTGGGGACAATTATACTAAAGCAGCTTAAAAAAAATTTGCGCGAATTTTTATGGACTGCTAGTTGTTTCGACACAAGGAGCAGTGATTGAAATTAGAACGGTTGGGCTTTTTAGAATTGGGGGATAACAGGGAAAAGACGGTTTCGATACCGAGGGATTTTACTTTACTAAGAGATAGAAATGCGCTTGACCTTTATGCTTGTCTCTCCTCTGTCAGCCACTGTCCCCGCAGCAGGTAGTCTCGTGGCACCTGGCAGCGTTCGTTGGTACAGACGGAGAGAGGAAGCAACGCGGTAAAACGAGAATTTATTTTGATAGAGGGGTTGAACTGTGTTGGGGACCTAGCTGGTTTGGTTTGCGAATTTTAAAAAGAAAAAAAATGTTGATAATCTTGATTTTGGTTTTTCACTTCTTTTTCCGTAAACAGGCCTGTCTCCTTCGATGTTGATCGTTTGGCTTGCTGCTCGTACTACAGTATCCTTGCTCGACAGTCGTATCGCTTGCGGCAGATGATGTTGGCGCACAGAGTGAAAAGACGGTTAGAGACAGTAGAGAGATAGAGCGAGGAAGAGACGCAGACAGTAAAGGAAAAAGAAGTTGAAAAGAATGGGCAGATAGGGTGAAGGATTATTGGATAGTAGGCAGACAAGGGGGATGGGTAAGAGAAAAATCGAATAGAGAGATAATGGAGAGTGAGAGAGCAAGGCGAGAGGGCCTGGACATCTGTTCCAAAAGGTCCGACTCGTTGCGCATTCGAATCGTCCCCTCTGGGCACATAGTCTGAGGTCACCTCTCGGTGGCCAAGTTAGCGGTGATAGCCGCCTGGTGCCGGGTCTCTGCCGTTTGGCGCCAAAAGAATCGTGCTCTGAACACCAATTGGTTAGCCATCGGGCAATGGTTAGGACGCTGGGTACTTCTAAAGACCGGACGACTCAAGACCAAAGACCACTATTCAAATCAATCGGGCGTCCCCTATGTTTGATGGCATTCCAGGTCGGCCTCACTATCTCGGCAGGAGGACAAAAAGATGAAAAGATGAAAACTACTTGGTGACTAAATGTGTTGTGGCATTAAAAAAAATACAGGGGTTTTGTTACTTCAAGGGGAATTTCCTTTCTGATCCGTGGGGCCAAAACCTGGGAGAGTCGAAGGAGCTCAATTTTGAATTAAGGCGCTCTTGGCCTAAATATTTGACGACTAAATAACTCGCAAAGAGTTTTGTTGTAAACTGGGTTTTTTCGCTGATTGTCTAAAAGGAGCTCGCAATAACTATTAGGTTAATTCCTAGAAATTCAGGAATCCCCTTGCAAAGGAACTGATGCCTGAGAACGCGTAAGAACATCTATACGCATTCCTTAGGGCTGATTCAAGAAATTCGTTAAAGCGGAATTACCTAGAAACCTCCACCAGCCTCATCAAGCCGACTAGGACTTGTGGCAACCTATTACTGGTGGAAAAAAATTTTGGTACGAACCAAATACGACGACTCTCCGGCCCTCATGGCGCCTATCTAGACGGAGTGGTCAGCTCCCTGAAATCAGGCTCCTACATACTACAACGACCGAATGGCTAAACAATTCGAAATGATTCTCGTACAAACTAACGTCATGAGTGAGGTTAAGCTTCACCCTTCGGAGCCTGTGGCGGCCGCCAACATAAATTGAACGAAGTAAAGAAATATATGAATCATGCCATTTTTCCGGATCCTTGGAAGGGGCTGTGTGGGGCAAAACAAGTAACAGAATTTGAAAATTATTGAAATTTGGATATAAACGCTATTTTTGGTAGCGTTAGCACCTGGAGGCGGCGCTGGCTGAATCCGCAAACGAAAGAGTACAAAATCCGGGACCTCCATTGTCATAACTGAGTAGTTTTGGGCTCTATGCCAAATATACCTCAGCTACGATCTTCCCTAATGGGGCTGTTACTTATTTTATAGTCAGGCACCCTGTTAACCTAACTATCTGCTATGCGCGCTATGGGTTGCTCCCAGAACCTTGTTATGTGGCTAAAGTCATCCCTCGACTTAGGAGGGGATATATTTTATATAATTTATTGGGCAGTTAAGTAAAGACAAGGACAAGGGAAGGGACCGGGAAAGGTGCCGGCCAACGCGACTAGCAAACCCTACTGAGATGAGTCATCCAAAAATAAAGGCAACCTGATGGGATTGGTGCAAGGGGGAAGACTGACTGATCGGGGATCCGAAAGCGATGGCCCGCTTAGGGGGCGGGGCAGGGAATGGTGCCGCAGGCACCATCCCACCTGATACAGGACAAGTGCAACATCCCGATGATGTTGATGCCCACTAAAATAGGATTTTTATGGAGTTTATGGTAAAAATCATTCTATTTTTAAAGTCCTAAAACCTACTAGACATTGTGAAAAATGCGAGTAAAAAGAATCCAAATGTGCAACGCTCGATGACGGTGGCCAGCCAGTCGTACTCGATTTTTGAGAGCTCCCGTTTCACCCTAAAATGAAGTTTGTAGCTTAAAAGTATATAAAAAACAAACAGATTTTCAAACGGATTCGACGCTGAAATACAGTAACGCGGGAACGCGGAAAACACTCGACCCGGGACGTTTTTCGGTGCTTTTGGATCAGCAGGACGGTTGATTTACGGCCGGGGAACAGAAATTGCTAATAGTAGTGCTGATAAGAACAGGAATAAGGCACTTCAAGCACGGCAGCCAAGAACAGAGAGAAGTAAAAATTAGTAAGGTGCAAAAAGAGTCAGAATTCTCTGGTTTCAGGAAGTGTTTTGGCGATCCAGATAATTTTCTCATGACTTGGGATTTTTCAAACATCAAATTTGCCAGATTAAAGTCCCCGATAATACAGTTTCAAGAAAGCACCAGGTTTATGAAGAAATTGATAAAAATCAATAATTGATTGTGATTTTAAGAAAATTACGAGGCCTCGAGCAGCTAAGAATGAGTCAAATTGGCGTTCGCAGAGTCTGGGAATCTCTCGGGATAACAGAAAACTACAGAATGGAATTTGGGCAGTTTAACGCTAGTTTTAGCAAACTAATAGCGTGGAATAGCAAGAAGCGAAAATATGTCGTTGAATGCATTACGACTGTAAATTAAAACAGCCCATTACAATTCTTCTTCCACTCTTTTTCGAGTGGTTACATTCTTTTCATGCCGATTTCGACATGTTTTTGGGCCCCAGCCTAATTGCCTGCAATAAAATGAGCATAGTAAGCTTTTAAATACCGTAATTCAAGCCAAATGGGACGAAAATATTGCCACCAAGCTCCCCATAGCTATCATTGAACTCCAAAAGCGGTAAGCCGGGCAAAAAAAAGCAAAAATAGAGCAGTTTTTCTATAAAAACGAATTTCACACACCGCTCCTGATACGCCAAAGAAAGATAAACACACAGAGGGAACATTTCTTTGTGTGGCTAGGGATGCATTTTTGCAGCCAATATATAGGAAAACACAGATTTCGCAGCCATTTCTACCCACTCCATTTCCCGTGCCTCCTTTTCAATCGCCTCAAAATCTATTCTAAAGGCGCAAATTTTGATCGGTAATTTTGGAATAAACGTACTTGTCCTCGCCGTCGACTTCACTGGCCACTTTTGAGAGGGCCCGCGATCGGAATTGGGCGCTACAATGATAATTTTTCTAGGTATGAAAAAGTAGCTTACTGTTCGGCTGGTGAAACGACCGATGGCTTTGATGGGTTGTCGACTGGAAAAAGGTATTTCTGTGCTGTCTTGGCTAGCTATCGTTAATTGAACGATCCCAAAAGGTCTCTGCTCGTTTGCCCTGTGATTTGTGTGAATTTGTATATAAATGATTGTTATTACCGCGCATAACTGGCTAGCTTGGCTAAAGGTCCACTGATCACTGCTAGCTTGCCTAAGAGCCCAAAGACCTTGCTAGTTTGCCTGGAATTCTAATGATCTCTGCAAGCCTGCTCTCAGTGCGATTGCTCTGCAAGCTAGCTCGAAAAATCCATTAACCTCTGCTAGATTGCCTTGAAACTTGAATGATTTTTGCTAGCCTGCTCAAAACTTCCGATAAACTCTGCTAGTTTGCCTCAAAAATTTAATGACCTTTGCAATCTTCCTAAAATTCCAGCGACCTCGGCAAGCCAGTCGCGAATTCTAAGAACCTCTGCAAGCCCGCCCGATATTTTTTAAAATGTTGCCTTAAAAGGCCTAGTTATTTTTACCTAAAGTCCCCTACTCACTTGCCTCAAATCCTCGTGGTTTTTCGACATATTTAAATTTATACCGTAATTCCATGATTTTGAACCAACTCACCTCCCCCATTCTGCAGCAGCGGCTCGTTGTTGTTGTTCCCGTAATCACCCGGATTGCCCATCGGGTAGGAGGCCAAGTCGGTGCCCGCCGTAAAGAAGTACTTGGCGAATTGGGCGATTGTCGACTTTCGGTTCTCCTCCTTCAATTTATAGCGATAGAGGCGCTAAAGGGGCCGTGAATTAGTAAGTGACGACTAGAGCGGCGTGATTGGATGGAGGAAAAATTAAAAAATTGGCAAAAAATTGCTCTTTCTCTCTCTCTTTCTCGCGCCCTCTCTCCTGCTGTCGCCGTCCCTTTAAAAATCATGAACTTTCATTTTTTTGGCTTCTCCATCCAACCACTTTTTCTAGCGGGATAGGTGAAAATAAAGCTGTATTATTCTGGGGAAAGAGCCTCGAACAGCCCGACAGTCCGAGGAAAAGATGTGGAAAAGAAAGGGATAGGATTCCGGGGTGCGACTACGGTATTTCGGGCAGGTTTTAGGCTAGCTTTAGCAATTTTCACGATCTAAAAATTCAAAACTCACAAATTTCCGACTTCTCAACAAAGCCTCGGATCGAAAATTCAAGCGTTTTGTCGAATTTGAGCTGTTTTGGATATTTCGAAATAACTTATGTACAAAAATATAATTTACGCGATGTTAAATCGTGAATCCTGACGACAAACCACAAAATCTACAATTCTAAATAGTGCGCCTGGCTCGGCCTGGCCGAGATACCGTAATCTTGAGCGGAATTCGGGGATAGAGACTCGGCCTCACGTCTTCTTCGTCAATCTTGGCGCAGCTCGGCCGATGGGAGGTGGACCGTTGTTTTTTCAACTAATTTTTGAAGCGTTCAAAGCATTTTTCTACGATAGTGGCTTCAAGCTTTGTATCTAGCTCCGGGAAAATAACCGAATTCTCAAATCACAGCTACGAGCACGGCTTTGAAATTACAGTAAGCTGGCATAACTTTGGACATATTAGCAGTTTAAAAACCAACCTTTTGCATCAAAGTAGACCTCGGCTTCAAGTGAGGCGGAATTCGCACCAAAATCGCGCTACTGATGTAGCGCGTAATTTTGATGGCTTTTACTGGGAGGCGTTTGCCTGAAAATGTTAAGATTATTAGAGTTAAAGGCTTTTTCAGTACACCTCCTTGCTTTTTCACTTTTTTTGAGCAATAAACACACCTCTCCTCCCGATTTTCTGAATCTGAATCACACAAGAAGCCGCGCAAGGCCCGACGGAGATGATGACGATTGCGCAAAGGTAGAACCAGCCTAAAATTGTCTTTAAAAGTAGCCTAAAAGTTGGCAAAAGCTTCCTAGGCTAAATTAGCTTTAAAAATATAAATAGCCTAAATTCGTCCTACCAAAACGACAAAATTGCTACATTGACCTCAAATTTATTATAAAAGTCCTTAAAGTGTGGTTTTCAAGGCTTAACTTTGTTAAATTAGTTTTCCAATCAATGTATCAGGTTGGAACGAAAGTCCTGTCGCCGAGATTTTGGAAGGCTGGCTAAAATCGTAGATAGCTCCATTCTGGACATGCGATATGCCATTTTGTAGCTCTCGACCTGATTCGTTTCGGTACGAAGGTGCTGGACCGTCAAAATAAAGGACAGCCGAGATACACGCTCTAGAAGTTTTTCCCAAAATCACCGAAAAGTGTTTTTGCAAGTTATCTCTGTATAGAGCAATTTGCACGCAATACCATTAACGCCAATCGATAGCTCTCGAGGAGTAGATATCGATAGGTGTTGAGATCATCAAAATTGGACACTAGGTGGCCGAGATACGACCCCTTGAAGTTTGGCCCATTCCTTAGAACTTTTCTCGAAATCCCATACATTTCCAAAAATTTGACGGACCGGTGCCGAAAATTGCCGCTTTATTTTTTTGGACTAGCGGAGCGGATTTTGAAAAAATGTATGGGAAATCGGGAAAAATTCTAAGAAATGGGCTAAACTTCAAGGGGCCATATCTCGGCCATCCAGTGCCCAATTTTCATGATCTTACCATCTATCGATATCTACTCCTTGAGAGCTATCGATTAGCGTTAATGGTATCGCATGCAAATTGCTCCATGCAGAGATAACTTGCAAAAACACTTTTGCGCAATTTTGCAAAAAACTTCTTGGGCCTGTATCTCGGCCCTTCTCTATTTTGGCGGCCCGGGACCCTCCTCCCAAAACGAATCAGGTCGAGAGCCACAAAATCACATATCGCATGTGCAGAATGGAGCTATCTACGAATTTAGCCAGCCTTCCAAAATTTCGGCGACAGAACTTTCGTTCCAACCTGATAAAACGCCTCAACCACAATTTTTTAAAATTAAGGTTTTAATTGTTTTGAAATTAGCTTCAAAGATAGTTAAAAAAATTTTTAAAACTAAAATTCACTCTCAATAAAAGTTCCTGAAAAAGCGTACTGATCAATGGTATAAACGTCGATGTAGACGGCATCTGATCCGATACCATCAGCATCAAAATGCTCATCGACAGAAGTGTAGTGATACACAGCGAGATTTTCTCTTCTCGGACTTCGTTCGAAGAGCTGGAAATCAACTTTTATGCTTTTTAATGTTGTTTTTAATAAGCAATAGTTTGCTTTCAAGCTTTGCCTCTTTGAACTCGGAACGCCCCCCAAATTCTTCACGATCAACAATCCAAGCCCGGTTCTTTGAACCCCCGTAATCTGATCCAAGGCAACCTGCGAACGCAACGATTTTGGCGGAGGTGAAGTTTAGCATTTTTCTGGGTTTGAAGCACGTAAACAAGTGAGAGAGACTTTTGCAGGCAGAAAGAGGTATCTGGATGCTTTTGACTCATAAAGTGCGAAAAAAATGGAGGTTTTCTGGATGCGGTTTGGTCTTTTTAGGCTCGAAGCACAAAAAGGAAAACGCTAATTAAGTCAACAGCAGGATTGGTCACGCTGGACCCTAATCGGATCCGGTCCGGCCCGGGGGTTGGTCCGGTCCGGTCCGGTCCGAGATGCTCGGATCCACTCGGACCGATCCGGTCCGGACCGGACCGCCGTCCGTCCGCGGACTGGATAGTTTGTGACCAACCCTTTTCAACAGTCAAATCGATACAAAAATCTTACGTCATCGACCTTCCTTACCTCGTCGTGAAAAACCCAATAATAGCGATCAACGTGATGATAAAGGTAGGGATGACCAGATTGACCAGATAGAATAATGGCCGTCTCCGGAGGTAGAACGTAAAATCGAGCAGGGTGTAGTTGTTGGGGCAGCAGACGTATTTGTTCTCATGACGTTCGACTGAAAGAAGCCGTATAAACACACCGAATTTTTTATCGTCTAGCACATTATGCAATATTAAGGGACCACGAAATCCTAAAATCCTCCCCTTAAGAACGACTAGGCGCAGGCAAATGCCTTAAAACGAGGGTAGGTAAGTGGAAATTAGAACGTAGCTAGTTACCGCGCGCGTAGCCGTCTACACCTAGTCGGCCGAATAGGTCAGGGTTGGCGTTTTCTACCACTTTTAAGGAAAACCCTTGAAAACCAGTGCAAAATTCAGAGCTACACCGCGTACGCAAGCCTACAAAACGCCAAGGTACGAATCGATACTACTTTAGCGTACAAATCGTAGAAAACGTACCCTGCGTCCCCATTAACGTCCATCCCTCATTAATCAAATAATTGCTCGTCCCGACTTCCATCGTATGAGGGAAATAGTCGATATCGTGGTTGTCCGAAGTCCACGACCCGAAGATCATATGGCACGTTTGAACGTCTAGGTATTTTCTTTAATACCTACGCTATTTAAAAACGTACCGTATGGAAAAAACTGTAGATACAATTTACAAGAAAATGTGTAAATTGCGGGGTATAAAAACTCCACGTAGGAGCGTTTTTCGGCGTAATTTGTTGTGACTTTTGCGTACATTAACCGTCGCTGATCGTCGTCTTTCATTACCACACTAAAATTTAAGGAAAAACATTGGTGAAGTAACGTCCTTACGTATTGTAAAGTACGGTATCCGGGATCCACAGCATTGTCCATGGAATTTTGACCTCGGTGATGTTATCGAAATTCTTCGGGTTCCAGTAGAGGAACTCGTCGTGCCACCTGTAAAATTACAAAATAGCGACGTTAGAGCGAAAGAAAAATTTCAAGAATCCCTGCTAGCTTGCCCCAACTAACGCTGAAGCTATGGAGAACTGGCAGAGACCGTTTGCGAGCCTTTAAATTCCTCAAATGATTTCTGCTATTTGACGCTGGCATTTTTTAAACATAGGGCTAGCTAGCAGAGATTTTTAAGGCTGTTGCGGCTCCCAAAGGATCTCTGCTAACTGACCATAGTTTTTTGAGCTCGAGCAACCCAACAGAGACCTTTTGAGAACCAAAAGCCTTCTCAAATGATCGCTGCTAGTTACCCTATCCCGATTGCTTTTTTTGTGCTGGGGCAGGCTAGCAGAAGCTATTTGCTAGATTTGATCATTCTCAAAGGACTTCTGCTAGCTTGCCCGAACATTTGCCGGAGCATGTGCAAGGAAGGTGGTAATGAGGCTTGGGCAAGCTTGCAAAGAACTTTTTAAGTCCTAAATTATATCTGCTGGCTCCCAAGCTGTTATTTTTGGGTCCAGGGCAAGCTAGCAGAGACCCTTTGAGAACTACGACCATTTTCATTAAGAAACTTATCTCAATAATCCATGTGCTCACTTTCACATACTGCTGCCGCTCGTTCTAAAATCCATTGAAGAAAACTAAGGGCTTTCTTTACGAGTTCAATAATCTGATACAGCTCCATCTTGAAGGTGACATCGACGGGCTTCTTCGAGTTCTTCCTCGGCCTCATGATGTTCTCTCCCCTCTTGAGCATCAGGGCCTTCATTAGTGTTTGACCAGCATTTTCTTCAGGTTCGGCCTCCGCTGCTACTAAATCTGATTAGTGTAAAATTCGGAAACAAAGGTTTCCGTCTCGTCTCGGTGATGGTTTTAGTTTTTCACGCCAAGATAAGCATTAAAACAGCCGCTTAAAATTGTGCAAATTAATTAGCATTTCTTGAAGATCTGACTTCTTTATTTACTGTTATGTTTCTTTATCAACAGACTTTCAGACTGTCTTGTTTTGCTGAATTTTCGATGAGTTTTTAATAGTTTTTCTGGCAAAAGGAGCACCATTTTATGTAAATTTATCTTGTATAGTTTTGAAGTAACATTTCTATACACCCATTTAAACCTACCTTCCGGATTCCACCCTGCTACTTTAGTCTATGGTGTCTCCTTAAACGTTTCGACCCTATTCCTATCCTTTTTGGGGGTAAAGCGGAGGTCCCCGAGGGCCCTAGCCAGCTGGCTGGCACGTCTTCCAACCCATACTTTTTGGGTGCAAAACTTATCGCCACCTTCAATCAGGCCCAATGTGACTTTGGGGAAAGAGTTTTCTGGACTGGTGCCAGGTTCTGAAAGTTTGAAAAATATATAGATCATCGAATTTTTTGTACTTTGTAGCCTTCAGTTTCACAAATTTCACTTCAGCTTGAAGATACGCAAATTATCGAGAAATTTTTTGGTTTGTAGAATTACAGATACACAGCACACCTACGGACAGTCGGAGCGTAGTTTGTAGCTTACGAATTTCCACCATTTTCAGGGGCTATTCATAGTTTCTCATCGATTTTCATGGTTTATAGTTACCAACAGATACACTGCACTCCTGGGGACATTTTCAACAGAGACTTTTGGAGCTTGTAGTTTGTAGTTTAATAATCTAATAAATTTAAAGTGATTTCGCTCGCAGTTAAGGACGCCACGGGGCCGGTTAATTGTTGCAGTTTGTAGTCTGTGGTTTTTCGTTACAACTTCCGAGTGATTCACCGATTTTTTTTGAAAATCGACAACAGACTACAAATTACAAAAACCTGCCAACCACAAAAAATCACAGCAAAAAGCATGAAAAAGCGGCACCGAAAGCTACAACCACCCAACCTCGCAGGTCACGCTGCTCGGCCCGCAAGCGCAACCGCACTGAAACAAAGCCGGAAAATTCTAGCCATTTCGAACATCCGAAGAAGCTTTTGGATTAACGTACGTCTTCTGGCAGCCTGTTCATCTACCGGCGGCGTGTACTTGGTTTTCGGTTTCGGAAATATTTCGCCGGATGCCTTGAATTTTCCCTGGGCCTGGGCTTCGGCAAATTTGTAAAAGAGTACTGTCGCATAGATCGGAAGCCAGGGTTGCATCTGAAAATTGAAATCGCAAATGTTCGAAAGTCGAAAAATGAAAGAAATAGAAGAAGGAGAGAGAGAGAAAGAGAGAGAGAGAGAGAGAGAGAGAGAGAGAGAGAGAGAGAAAGAGAGCGAGAGAAAGAAATTTTGCAGAAAGCTCTTAAAACTGAACTTTTCAGTCTGAACTGCTTGAATTTGACGCAAGCGGAAAAAGAAATTGTTGCGAACAAGAACCGGAAATAATTGTTAGTGAAACGTGCCGCCCCAGCACCCTAAAATACACTCAAATCCGATCATTGCTGTGGGCGTAAGCGTTGTAAAAACCATAAATTCAGCCCATTCCAAAAACACCCACAAGAACCTTTTCAACTCCCAACCTTTTCAGTGTCCAAAAGTCGTTCCTCGTAACTTGTTTCCGCCCGATAATGCAATTTCTTTTGACGAAAAAGGAATTCAATTTACTATGATGAGAATTTGAACAGGAACAATGAGTACATGACATTCAGGAATTAAGAGGGAGGTTATGAAAAGAAGCAAATTTAGGTGGAGGCGAAGGGAAACAAGGAGCAAGAACTATAAAGGGGCCAGGAAGACTCAGAAACAACAGAAAGATCGGCTATGAAAATCTAAGCAATTCACCAACAACTGAAAATACTTTTGCCCTGCTAAACGTAATTTTCCAGTCCAAATCTACAAGCAAGAGGAAGCGGAACAAAATTTTCGGGACCAGCTCCTTATTTCCGAGAAGCAAACTAGAGGCCAAGATGATGGGACCATGAAAAAACAACCCATCTAAGCCGTGAGGGGCCAAGCCAAGAAATTTGAGACTTTAGGGCGAGAGAGCGAAGGGGTTGTCAGGCAAAGGGAGAAGCACAGGTGGACATGGATCATCACTTTTTTTGTTGCTTTGCCCCGGGTGATTTCTTGGGGTTAGGGAGAGGGAAAGGCGGTTGAAATGTTGGCTGGGAAAAGGATGTGGTGGCCAGAGATCAGGAGAGATAAAGAGAGAGGGAGAAAGGGAGCGAGAGCGAGAGAGAATGTGTGTCGGAGAGAAAGCGAGAGAGCGTTAGGGGGAGAGAGGGGGGGAGGGGGAAAAAAAAAAAAAAAAAAAAAAAAAAAAAAAAGAGAGAGAAGAGAGAAAAAAAAAAAAAAAAAAAAAAAAAAAAAAAAAAATAATTCCAAAACTGGCAGATCTGGATCCCGACGCCGCTTCTACCCCATCGGGAATTCAAAGGACATCCAGGACGCGGCCCTTCAAATCCAAAAATCCTTTTCTTTCGAGCAAAACGCCCGAAGGAACGGCGGCGTCACAAAACAAATTTCTGGACAATGGATTTCGGGGAAATGGGCTGGGAGAAGCACCAGGCAGAAGTGTTTACCGAATGGGAATTGAAAATTGAAGGAAATTTCATTAGACTAGCTGAATGGAGCTGTTTTTTTGTGAGGGATTTGGCTTGCGGTTTTGGACTTCGGTATTTGGGGGGAAGTCCGCTTGGGCTTTTGATCTATGTTAGTGAAAGGGAAGGTGACAGCAGGGAAAAAGCGAGAGAGTGAGAAGGAGAGCGAGAGACCGGGAGAGGGTGCGAGAGAGTGGGGGAGAGAGCAAGGGAGCGAGAGAGCTAGAGAGCTAGAGAGTGAGAGGGAGAGAGAGACAGAGCGAGAGTGCCAGAGAGTGGGAGAGAGATAGAGAGCGAGAGAGTCAGAGGGAGAGCGAGAGACGGAGCGAGATTGCGAGAGAGTGGCGGAGAGAGAGCAAGAGAGCGAAAGAGCGAGACAGAAAGAGAGACGCGATAAATAGAGAAAGAGACATTCGATAGCTCAAGCTTCTAAATGCACGCATCTCGTTTTCACCTTCAAAAACTGGCGACAAAAACGTGCTAGCAAAAGAAGAAGCCATAGATTCGAACACCAAAAATTAAATATGGCTGCTTGAATCGGTTAACTTGCCAAAAATGGCTTTTCCAGTGACCCAATGACGCTAAGTTTTCCAGGAAAACAAACTTTTTACCGATTTCGGCGGCCTCCATTAAGCATTCGAAATGTTTGCTCAAACTTTTGGAGAGAGGATGAGGAGGAGGTTCCGCAAAAAATGGAGATTTCTCAGGATTTCGAGCCGGATAGGTCGGCTTGCATAAATTAATCACAAGTCGGAAAAGTTGGGGTATTGGAGAAAACATCTATTTAACGATTTAAAAAGGTTTAGCTGAATATAATAAACTCTACGTATTATGCCCCCAATTTAAATAAAAAAATTTCTTTAAAAAATGATGTAGAATGGCTTTTTATAGAACTTTATTGTGCGAACAACTTTCAAAACATGCTTAACCTTAGGGAATAATGTTTAAGCATCTGTTATCCGGCTTATTAAGGCTAAATCAGTGCTCAAATTTAACCCGAGAAAATTTTGTTGCCCTCTTTTCCGGTTCAAATTCCAAGGACGGCCGAGTTGGACCGGTCAGCTGAAGACCGGAATCAAATTTCGTTCCGAAGAACGTGAAAAATCCGGCGCAAAAAAAATCAGGCAGACCCGTTCCATGGCCCTAGGCTGGTGAATAACAAGTGTCGGGCTATAGGCTAAAGTTCGCCGGGGGTGAAATTGGTCAAGATTGCGATGTTCCGGCGTTTTGGGGCACCGGCGAGAGGACGGCACAAAATGGGGACTTTTTCGGGGAGGCCAGGGGGTTCCCCGGAGGAGGAGCTCGAGGAGGGGAGGCTGATGATCGGAATGCAACTAGCGGGTGTGGGGAATGACGTCATGATAAGTGTGATATAAAGAGCTTGAGTGCTTGGGTTTTTGATCAATTAGGTTAGGAGATGCGAGCGAA